AWYGWKRMGSCRRCCMCCGAGATCTMCACGCTCGACAAAACCAAATGGACGAATCCTTCATACAAACTGCCAATCCCATCTCTTCGGTTCCTTTTCCACTTGGAGTGTGACATGGAGGCATTTCGTCATATCGGCGAGGGCCCTTTCGGAGATCGATCCACAGTCATCTTCAAAGGAGGGAGATCCGAGGGCCCGAAGCTTCGCGGCGAGATTCTTCCTGGAGGTGGAGGTAAACACCACAAGATTCATACTTCGATTCGATGCGATTGCTGACGAAACGAGTGTAGATTGGGAGATTGTTCGTAATCACGGGGATCAACAGACTGCCCATCTCAACACACGTTATAACCTTGTGACACACGACGGGGCCACCATCTATCTTCAAACCACTGGGACTCGCACTGGAGCCAAGTCTATCATTGAGAAGTTGGGCGAGGATACGAGTATCACCGCGGATAAGTTCAAGATGCGTTTGAACATGACTTTTGAAACGGGGGACGATAGGTACGGCTGGCTGAATACCGTCGTTGGCATTGCTAGTTCAGGACGGACAGGAAGCCAAGTCATTTACGATGCTTATGAAGTTGTGTAGGGCAACGATGCTCGAAAATTGAGTCGAAATTTATTGAAGAATCTGCGGCATGGTGTATGTATCGCAGGCTTCCGTCACACGCCTATCTCTCATCTCTGGAACCCAACCCGTTGACCCTGCTCTATCCCGTGGAAAAGGCTTCCTCCAATACCTTGAGATGATCTGTAAAGCCACGAGTGGAAATCCCCAAATTGCTGAGTTGGGCAGCATTTTTAGCGGCCAAGTTGTTGGTATCGACAATCATGCTCATAACCTTCGAGATCTGCCGCTGTTCACCACAATCGTCTTCGAGAGTGCCCAGGACCCTCCGGAAAGATGAAATCCGCCGCAAGTGAGCTCTGCGCTGTTTGGTGATGCCGTTCAACCGTGCCAGCGTCTTTTGCTTTTGTGGCAAACTAACTTGCCACTTCGCGGGATTGGTCGTTTCGGCGACACGTAGCAAGGTTTCGATGCTAGGTACGGAGCAGGTATCGTCGAGGTAGCGTTCGTCATGCTGCAGTTGCTTGAGTTCACGCGAGCAGGCGTGGATTCGTTCGTCGAGGGGATACTGATTGCCACCCATGTTGAAGGATCGATTGATGTTGATGAGTTGTTGGGAATAGTCGCGGAACGTTCGATTGATGTGTAGGGCGTTGATTGCTCGTTGTTTTTGCTGGGCAAAGGTTGTTCGAACGACTTGTTGATATTGCTGATTGAATGTGGAAGAGCGGTGTGTGGAAGAGGGAAAGGGTCAAAGGTGGTGGGAAGGGCCCTAGTTGTAGAAGCTCACAATGCTCACTGGTCACCGCCAAGTCCCACCTGATGAGCACGAATACAATGCTGTGTTGTCCAACACCTGCACACATCTGACCAAGTGACATGTTTGGACAGCGAAACAGCGTGTTGAGTTGGCTGTGACAGCGTACGGGACCAGCTCTATTCTGTGGCATAACCAGCAACACACAAGTCATGTTTAATGACATCGCTGTATATTGTGTGCCTGCCTGCAGGATAGGGGTGCGACTTATGATAGGAGGTCGACTCTCTCAGCGTCTCAGCACAACAGTAGATTGGTCATTGATCCAAGATTGTGACTAGAGATTGGAATGATCCCAGTGGCAGGACATAGTGGGAAAAGGCCTCTTGTTGTTCTTTGCAGAGGTTAACCTGTTGAAAAGAAACATTCGGTCATAAGGTCTAAAATCCGGCTAGTCCCCGCCGAAGGATCAGAGGATCACTTGCTCGCCTTATCTACGTCTTTCAATGATCAAGACAATCCTCTGCACATCCACTCCTCAAACAATGGAAAGACAGTACTTGTTCATCGATGGTGTTCACGCAAAAGGGGTTACCAAGCGAGCGACCCGAAGCCACGTTATGAAGGGAAAGAACGTAGGAAGAAAGTTGTTCCGGCGATCCAAGCAGGCATGTGCTCCTCTTACGATTGCCAAGAGCTTTGGGTACCTGGGGATCTCGCTTCCCGTAGAGATTGAGCCGTGGTCTCAGCAGATCATCAATCATTGTKAGCTTAAAGTTGCGCATATCCAACCGCGGCTTGGGTTGACACTTTCGATAGTCTTCGAGTACACCTCCACGAGGCTGTATCCTATCAACTTTGGAATCATGCTGCAGGAAGTCATGGTCATGTACTTGAGAACCATCTGTGTCGACGAGACTGGTGAGCGGTATTCCATCGTGGAGGAACGGCCGGGGCTGACCTGCTCTCAGTACACGCATGCTGTGTCAGCATGATGCAGGCCTGCAACGAAATATTCTCTTCCAACGGCGAGAGTTCACCCAAAGCGCTGAATCATATCTCTCGAAATTTTGACCTGATACAACGAAGGATTGACGGTGACGATGCACTGTCTGACTCGACTTTGGCGATTGTGGTATCACTCTTCCACCAAGAACAAATTCGAAAACAATATGCGGCTGCAAGAGTGCATATGAACGGTCTCCAGCGAATGGTGAAGCTTCGGGGTGGAATCAGCAAACTCGAGAGCTCCCCCTATCTGCTGCTGAAAACCTGCAAGTGAGTTGTAGCTTGATTTCCAAGACTTGGTTCTTTTTAGCTGATGTGGTGATAGGATCGACATCATGTTCGCATTGCAGAGCGGACAGAAACCAATGTTCTTCCGAGACAATATGGCGTACGTTCGTAATGTAATTTCGAAAGAAGGCATGTCACTAGCATGTACCAATAATGCTCTTTTCGAGCGTTACAGCCAGCTAGATTCCAACTTCCAGGACGTACTCGTAGACATCGCAGGCTCTTGCTCGCTGTTCAACGAGAAAGGGAAAGACGTCCCGCTCGGTATGATACCATTTCTGGAGCTCATAATATCCATCTGCTATCGGCTGCTCCGTTTCAGGCCATTGCAAATTCCGAGCCGACAGAACGATTCTCAGGGAGCGCTACATCTAGGATCTACCATCGTGATGATGACCGTGTTCCTACAGCTCGGTCATCTCAGAATGATCGACTATACCTTGATATCACGATGTCTGCAGCAGACACTCACTGCTAGTCTGCTCGATGAAGATTGTGAGCTGTACCTATGGCTCGCTGTCATCGGTAGCATCTGGACTTCTGGAAGCGAGGATAGCAGCTGGATCATCGCACGTGTGCGAGAGGCCTCGGATCGAGCTGGCCTGAAGAGTTGGACTGAGCTTCGGGGCCGTATCGCAATCTTCCCATGGATCCATGTCATACATGATCTGCCGGGGTATGAGATATGGCAGCAATGAGGCTGTGGACTAAGTGAGATACTGGAATACCCTCTGACAACACTAGGCGAACTTCTCTCCCACCAACTCCTCTGAAAGTGCCCACAGCTTCTCAGCTTCTGCACTGGAAATCGCTCGAGGGTCCGCCTTTTCACTGATCTGGCAGTCCATCAAATACGACCCGTAGTTCTCCTTGCCATCCCTCTCCTGTCCCACTCCTTTTGCCAAGGCTGGATCCAGGGCTGCAACAAGACTAGTCGCTGCACCAGCACCCAGAGTCTTCAATTTGTAGAGACCCTTCTTCCCCAACTCGGCGACAGCCTCCTTGGTCTCTTTGGCGAAGTCTCTCTTGAGTTCGGTCTCAATAACACCTGGATGGAGTGCCAATGTCAAGATACCATGTTGCTCGAACCAACGCTTGTTAGCTCCAACCGCAAATAGCAAATTAGCGACCTTGCTGCGATTGTACGCATCGATCGGGACATAGCTCTTGGACTGCACGTCCTTGTATCCCCAGCCTTCTAACCATGTATAGTTTGGCTGCTCAGCTTCTGGAAGAGTATTGTTGACTTTTTCGAAGTTGTAATCAGACCAGCGGAAGCCAGCGATGGCCGGCGAGCCAGAGCTGACGTTGACTACTCGCACATGGCCTTTGGGACTACTTTCAGCTGCTTTGATGAGCTTGGGAGCAATAAGATTGGTGAAAAGATAGTGGCCAATGTGGTTGCAGCCCAAGTGCATTTCGATTCCCTCAGGAGTAAGCGTGTGTTCGGGAATGCCCATCACTCCGGCACTGTTGACCAAGATGTCGAGTTTGGGAACGGTGGACCAGGAGAGAAACTCTGCGGCAGCTGCGCGGACAGACTTCTGGCTGGAAAGATCCATRTGGAGGGTACGAAAGTTGGTGTTTGGAAAGTCCTTCTTGATAGCGATGATACATTCCTCCATCTTTGAAGGGGAGCGTCCAGCTAAAACAAGACATGCCGGCGATTGGGATGCCTGACATTGGGTTAGATTTGACATCCGGATGAGTAAGAGGGTTTGGAAAGTATGCTCACAAAGGCTTGTGCAGTTGTAAATCCAATACCGTGGATATTGGCTCCCGTGATGAGGACTGTCTTGCCTTGAATAGCCGTGGAGAAGGCTTGGGCAACCTCAAGGGCTTCCGTAGTGGCACCAAAGTTCGAATGTGTGGTGGAAGCCATGGTATTGATTGGATGCTCGCAGGGAGATGAATCCTAGAGATGCTGCAATGGGAGGGAAGAGTGTATTTGGGAGAGAGAAAACATGGGCTTTCTGGGTTTATATGTTACAGCCATGGCATACCCAATATATGTCGCGCTACGTTATCCAATGAGAGACTTACTACTGCATTTAGTTAGGTGTCCATGGCAATAATGGCTCTTTGCTTAACACCGAAAATCAAGGTTGCTCTGAACATGCTCTCGAGGAGTCGAGAATGGAGACGAGCCAATGAGAGACTTACTTCCTAATGCAGCAAGACTGCGGCTTTAAGCTTGCAAGACCCGAGTAGGCTCAAAGTCGCAGATTATGACAAGATTGCGATTGAACATGGACGCAATGATCTTCTCGAGAAATGTTGGGAATCCAGTTGATCAGAGTCGAATCGCTGATTGCCACCTATGGATTGCTATCATCTGCCGCATTGTCGTTCTCCTGACTGGCTTTCGTCCGAGAATCTCCCCAAGAGGTCGTCAAAGTCGGGTTTGTAGTGGCATTCGTGCGCACATCTACGATTCAGTGTCCAAGGCTGATCGTACTCGCGGTGTATCATCGTCACAGAACGCGACGTCGCTCCAAGCTCACATCCCGCAGTCTCCACCCGGCATGCTCAGGCTCATCAGACATTATTTTTCGCTTCTCGTCCTTCATTTGGCCCGCCTCGAGCTGTTCAACCACTTCCGCCCGGCCTCTTCCTTTCCCACTCTTCGGGTGTGTGACATTTGGGCGTCCAGGCGTGGATCGCGGCGATTTCCTGCTTCAGCGTCGAGTTCACCAGCCGATGCCGTGCCAGCGACGTCTTCTTAGCGAAGTGTGGCGAGACGATGATGGCCTCGTACATCTGACCGCAGCCACCTGTAAGCACATGTTGTTTAGTACAAGAAAGGATGCCGTCATCTGACTCTGTCCCCTCATGCGCATACCGCTCATGTCCACAATTTCCACATGGCTTGCGTCCAGTTTCTCCCGCAGCGTCGTCTCAAGACTCTGCGGCGTGACGCCCGAGCTGTTTTGCATCGCCGTAGCTTCCGCGTCTGTCGGAGCACTCATATTGAATAATGTCCACGGGTGATGTATTGAAAGGAAAATCAGATTGATTGATTAAATTGAGATGGGGAAATCTGCCGCCGGCGATCGGCCATGCATGACGTTCTGAATAAATTGGAGCGCGTCCCCCATCTCGTCCTCCATCGCACGATACACATCTTCACGCGACGTTGGCACATGTTCGCCAGCAAAATCCACCGGACAATGGCGACTTCTTCGCCATATACACGTAGCGTCGTCAGCGCCATGCGAAAGCTCTACCCGGAGGCATTGGCCGACAAGAGCTTCGACAATACGGGCTGTGAGCACAACAACCCAATGCTCCACGCTCGAGAGCTCATGGCTGATTGATCGATCGATTCGCAGTGCTGCTAGAATCTCCGTTCGATCCTCGTCGGCGCCAGAAGAACTCGGTCTTGTTGACAATAGATCTCACGACGGCCGTTGCAGATGAGGCGATCCGTAGGCAGGACAGCGTGGTCGTAGCATACCATCCCATCATCTTCAGAGGATTGAAGGCGTTGACAATGAAGGACACACAGCAACAAAGCTTGCTGAGACTGGCGGCGGCGGGCATTAGTGTATCGCCTCCTCATGGGTCTTGCAATGCCGTCATTTCTGACATCTGAACAGGTGTATAGCCCCCACACAGCAGTTGACTGCGCAGCCGGAGGACTTGGAGACTGGCTTGCAGACATTGTTACTGGAACATCGAACTCTGCACCTTCTGAGCAGTCCCCTTTTGACGCCGACTCTCAGCCACAGGGCCGACCCACCCACATGCTGCAACACCACCCTTCCCAACTGTCAATCAAAGACTCTCGCGCATTCTCACGAGGCGCTAGCAAACACGAACGCTACCCAATCACTCCAGCCAAAGTCTCCGGCCACGAAGGCGCCGGTATGGGTCGCATCATCAGGTTTCCTTCCCCAGTCCCCTTGACCGAGATTATCGATCGCATCACCCTCGGCCTGGGCAATCCAAAGGGATTTCCCATCGCGGTGCCCCAAGGGAAGCAAATAAGTGACATGAACATCTCAAGCATTGCGCTTTGTGCAGGGAGTGGTGGTAGTCTCTTCAGCGAGGCGGAGAAGAAGGGTGAGAATGTGGATCTGTACTTTACCGGAGAGCTGTCACATCATGAAGCATTGGCGGCGATTGAGAACGGCAAGTGTGTGATTGCGCTGTTCCACAGCAACACCGAACGCGGCTTTCTACACGGTGTCTTGAAAGAGCAGTTGGAAGGGCAAGTGCGAAAGGAGGTAAGTGGTCCAAGTTGCGAGCGCTGTTCACCCATCGACTGACACTCGTTCGTTCTCCAGTGGGACAACTTACGCCAAGATGAGGATGTGAAACAGGAGGCAAAGAAGCATGGCTATCCGGAGGCGTTGGACGAGGACCATGTAGAGGTGCACGTCAGCGAGGTTGATCGGGATCCGTAAGTCCAATTGAGGCGTGTAAGGCACAGAGCATGTCTAGACGGCTCCATACCCTCCATACCCTCCATACCCCTCCCCCACGTTTTTGATACATGAAACACATGCTGACCGTCCATGCCTTGCTTTAGCTACGGGATCATGGTCAGTCGGGATTGACCCAGCAATACGGTGATCGCCGGGTCCCCCGACCACCTTGGATGGTCCCACGTTGAAACAGACGGGAACTCAGAACGAAACGTCGCCGATGAAAAATTAAAGGAATCAGCAATCTAAAACGGGGAAAGTGAGACACATCGTCAGTCGCCGCCGAACAGCAAGTTCTCGACAACAGGAGTTTCCGAGATTTGAGGTCTCTCTGATAGTTTTATTGATCCAGACTTCAGTTCTCAAGCAGCCTTTCTCTCTAACGCAAGTTTCTTAGCGAGACCGCCCCACAGGACTATTGATTTTGGACAACACCATCGTGCATCTTATTCTCATGCGAGCAGCTGCCGTTTCGGGGCAGAGCCACGGCACATCATCACAGTTGGTATGGCTGCAGCTCTTGCAGTTCCGCATGCAATGCTGTCGATCACTCCTGTCATCACATTGCGTCGGCCCTCGGCGAATCGTATTGGTAGGGAGCGACGTTGTTCGTCCACAGGATTGCAGTTTCCGTCATCGCAACACTCAGGCAATACTAGCGAGTGTGCAACTTCACCGCCGTGCAAACCCCAAATGTGCGATCGCACTACTTACGGCATTTCAAGTTTGTGAAAGCTCGAGGCATGCTTCTTTCCAGAACTGCTGCCTTGAAAGTTCGCAGAAACTGAAATAGCAGGAACCATCTGTTTTCCACAACCAAAGAAAGCTTGGAGGACCATGTGTCAACCAACGCATTGGCAATGGAGATCCCATCGATGTTGAGACACACCTAGCACACAGGCTTCTGAGTGAACGCCTCTATGCTCAGGAACAAGCCGACGGATTACACCCAATAGATGCAGGCAGATCGTACTGCTGTAGGACGCCACAATCACACGCGGAATGCATATATTGGACCCGTTTGTTTGTCTACAACGCTCCGGCATGCAGGGTCGCGAAGTATACTACTTATGCTATGCCCACCGGTTCCAAACCAAGACATTGGCTTAGATCATAGATGGATTTCTGGATACGGTGCGCTTGGCTGCGCCCTGGGTGCATCATGCTGCATCGTTATGTTCCTTTTGCGTGGTTCGTGGCAGTGCCGACAGCCATGTTCTGCTACTATGATTAAATTGAAGGTGTTTGCAATCGTACTCTTGGTTCTTCACAGTCGGCGCGGGTCAGAGAGTCCGATTCGACCCACGTTCCTTGATGTCAGCTAATCTCGTGCATTACTGAGGACCGCGAGACAGGCTAGCGGACCTGACGTTGGTCACTGTCCGCCCGCAATTATTGTTCGCAGGGCGAACAACGGCAGTCGAGGATTCACGAGCCTGATGATGGGCACTACCGTCGTCCGGCCGAGACTGACGCAGACGTTGCATGTGTGACGATGACGCAGCAGCCAACATTGATCAGAACAAACGAGCTGGCGTCTGTTCGACATTCGTTGCACCTGTGCAGGGTTCCCGCTTCGTCTTGCAAGTTGCTGTCCAGCTTCCTGCGATGGTTCGCACCTTTCTTCAGAGCTGTGCTGTTGTGCATTAGTTCTGGTTCTAGTGGGCGACCTACGACCCACGGACCAGGCGGGGCTGAGTTTTGAGACACAATCGCCATGAAGGTCCCGCCATGCCGGGGTGTCGCTGTTTGGACGGCGCCAGACTCCGACCCTCCGGCTTACTTGTGCTTGCTTGCAGCTGCAAGTCATTTTGTGCTCTGAAGCCCGGTACTGGTCTGTCATTGGCAAGAATTCGGGGAATCCTCTTAGACGCGGCGGATGCTGTGCAGAGTCCGGCCGTGAGGGCTGATGAGCCTCACTCCTCGTGTTATCCCAGTCTCCTCAACAATCCAGTGCTGCTAGTGGTAGTCGTTGTGGGCACCGGCAAGCAGTGGAGCAGAGTGGGAAGTCCGAGACGGCTCTCGACAGATGGGCGGTCGTGTGCGCGCGACCAACGCCCTCGGCTTTCGCTTTGGAAGTGTGAGAACGGCTTTGCCGCGGAAAATCGAGCCTAGTGTCGATTAATTCAGCTTTTCAGACCAATCAGATTTCCCGTCTTTTCTCTGGCTCCTCCCGGCGGAGGGTCGAGCTGCAGGTCCGGCGCAGGAACCGTGCGCCTATTCCTCGAGCTGTGCAAAGTCTTTCCGCGCCTGCATGTGTGCTGCAGGTGGAGGAGGAGCAGCATTGGTGTGATGAGAGCAGTCGTGTGGTTCAGTCGACGACATTCCTGGCCGCAGCGAAGTGGCCCGTTGTATAGATTGTATCGCCAGACTTCCCCGGTTTTGCCCTCCACACATCCTACAGTCAGTCCCCAGCGCCTTGTCCACATCTCCATCTGTGCCGTCTCCCGTCTGTGCCGCCGTTTCTGTGACAGGGCCCGAGAAAGTGGCAGCGGGAGGATCGGAAGCTTCCAGGGCACGGGCAATCAACAACTCGCGATCCACCCTAGTCGGTCCCTCTTGTCTTTCCCTAACCACATCGACGGATACCGTCTCGTCCAGTCAATCAATACAGCGATTCCCCTGCTCGTTGTCCTGTCGCCGTTGTCGTCGGCGTGCCACTGCCGTTTCCTTTCAACTATTCAGCACTGGTCGCTCATTTCCTGAAGTTCAAGATCATTCTGCCGCGAGGAGGAGAAACGTCAACACAACAACACGCACCTGCCACCTCTGCACCAACGCTGGCCGCTTCTTCTCGCTCATTTCCRTCACTGACGGACGTCGCGTCTGCCCGACACTCATTTGCTGCTAATTGTCGTCGCTCGCCATTATGTCGACGACGTCGTCATCCGTCAACACGTCACGGTGCTCTGGATCTTCAGTGTCGTCCAATGGCTCCGCATATCAACTCATTCTGGACCACATCCTGACATATCCCGGCAACTATGAACTACCATTGCGTACAATGTATGCACTCAACACGGCACCGCGAGGCAGCATTCGCCCTGGCACTCCCCCATCGAGCAGTGGCAGCTCTCCCGCAATCCCACAGGGCGCCTTTCCGGATACGCAGACCACACAGTCCTTCACCGAGAACCTCCTGGCACAGGTGTCGCAGCTGTCCCACCAGACGGCGACACTGCCACCCAGCTTCATCATTGCCTTTCTCAATCGATGCTTCCCGGCAGAACTCACTCACGTCGACTTTCCCCAGGCTTTGACCGGCCTGGACTACCTCAAAGACCTCGAGACGCGGAGGCGGCGCGAAGTRGCCTCTGCCATGAACCGTCTCGAAGTTGACCGGGAATCCCTCGACCAAGACGCCGCCGGTCTCTCCGGCCGATATCCGGGCGTTCTCCAATGGGTCAAGTCGATCGAAGAGAAAGAGCGCAAGATCGATTCCCTGTACACTCAGGTGTTCCTCGGCCTCCGACGCTGGATTATCGTCAACGAGCTTTCCCTTCAGCCATTCCACAAGCACAATTGCTTGGGGATGTTGAACACATTGTACCCTCCGATTGGCCTGTCAGATCAGCCCACGAGTTTGCTGTCCCATTCCGTCCTCAAGAACCAGCGCGAAGGGTACTTCAAATACATCACCAGTGTCGAAAAGAATGGTCCGCGGGTCTTATCCACATTGATGCAGCAGGGCAAAGCACCTGGAGACGAAAACGGCTGGGTATCCGTCACGCGAACCCTCAGCATGTATCTCCAGCTGGCCAACAGCATCATCACCGAGTGCGGCCAAATCTCCAACGTATACGATGTATCGCCGCGGAAGAGCCGTGACTCAAACCAGACMGTCTCGTCTCGTCACACACGCAACGCAGATTCAGGCATCAGCTTTGGCAGCACTTCCTCAGATCGGCGGCCATCGACCCGCGGATCCGCGGTCGAGCCCGTGTCACCGATGGAATGGAATCGCCCGAAGACTCCCAACGGGTCACGTCCTGGCACTACGCTGGAGAAGATTGCACGCGGCTTCAGGACCATGGGACGCAGCAGGACTGATGTAACGGAGATTATCATGGAACACAGCACAACGCCCGAACCACAGCCGACCGAGAAGCCAAAGATGCTGCGGAAAATGCGCAGCCTTGGCTCTTTGGGCGATCGCAAAGGCAGCATGGCCAGCCTGCGCCAGAGCTCCGATGCCCCAGCTTTTGACGTCGAGGCAATGCGCCTGCAACGTAAAAAGTRCGAGGCTTCGGCTCTAGGCCACGAAAAAGTGGACAAGCGGACGAGCCATGAAGTATGAATGACGGCTGTACACCTCTGATGTACACGCCTTTTTCTTTTGTTGGAATTGATGACCGTCACGATACCACGACCGGGGACAGCAGGCCGGCGAGCTTGGGGACTTTTACAACGTATTGCGCTCGGTGCATATGGGTCTACATTCGACTGTACATGTTTGGGCCCAGGTTGCGAAAATCGGGACAGAGAGCGCTGTGGCGCTGTCCGAAGCTCTCTAAGCATCATTGTTGATACATGATTGCGAGCTAGACATGCTGTTTGGGAGGACCTCTGCACACTTTATTCCGCATGGTTGTTCAAGGGACGTTCACGGTGAAGGATGAAAAGAACCGTACGCCTTACCATGATCGAAGAATTGGAAGGAAGACACACTACGAGATAGCTGCTTAATGAAACGATCAGAACTACTCCTACTGCTGCATCAATGACCTGTCCGAGATTCGTTGTCGCGCATGTACGCACATATAAACAAACACACCCTTGTCATGCTTGCTGGGACGGTAGGGAACCGGCCTAGCCCATGTCTCAGATCTACCAGAGTTGAAGGTYTGGTACCGGGAACCTGGGCGACCGGGTGGCTGGTCAAAGGGTCAATTTCATCAAGTGCCCGATTTTATCTTGGTTGCGGAAAACTCAGTAGAATACGTTTTGAGGGTCTGTGGTTTTAAAGATCAGGCTTGTACTGGTGCAGGGCGTAAGCGGAGCACCTGAGTCACTGCTAGTGAGCTCGAGCTCCGACCACAAGTGATGGCTTTCACGACCCGAGAACTCATTTCATCTGGCACCTGTCACGATCCTTGAAACACGTTCGAGAACCGGAATCTCACTCCGAGCTGGTCACGATGTCGCCGCGGCGCTTGAAGTTTGTCACAGTACTGAACATCAACTTTGGTAGTTTAGACGACGAGATCCCGCTGCTGACTTTGTGAATTCGCTGCAGCTCGATGTGTTCACCCAAGAGAAGTATGCAGGAAATCCCCTGGCCGTCTGTCTGGTCCCCGCCGGCGAAGACGTGTCGACAGAAACCATGCAAGCGATAGCTCGAGAGTTCAACCTTTCAGAGACCCTCTTTTTATATGAAACGGGACCACAAGGCAAAGAACCCACATGGAGGGTCCGGATCTTCATCACAACGGCGGAACTACCCTTTGCAGGTAATGAGCGTTCCGCCTTAGTCTCCAGAGCTCCCGAACTTCATATCATGTAGCTTAGGTGACTGACCTGTATCAAGGGCATCCTACGATTGGAGCTGCTGTGTTCGCATTGGGAACTCTTCAAAGTGCCACCAAGGGCACCTTCGTGGCAGGCGCCGGTCCAATCGAGCTCTCATTTGATGGCGTTGTAGCCGAAGCATCGATCCCTCATAATGTCCACATTCACAAGCAGTATCCACTAAAGGTTGCGGACATTGGCGCCACTCAGCCGAGCTTGAAAGGCTTGCTAGAGTCTGATGATGCAGTCACAGTTGTGAGCCCCGTCAAGGGCATGAACTTTGGTGAGTCTCCTTCTGTTGATACGAAGTACTGTTGTCCGTACTGTTGTCCTTGGTATCGTTCAGGGTCATGTACACGTACAAGCCTAAATTTTTATCGAAAAGCTAACGATCGTTCCTTGTACAACCAGTTGCAGTCGAGCTCGCCAGTGTCGAACTTTTGTCAACAATCGCTCTCTCGGGAAGGGCGCTACCGAAGCTTGACGATGAGTGGAATGTTGGCTTCATAGGCAGCTACTTCTACGTCCCGACCCGAGAATCACGGGTGGACGGCGATGTGAATAGGGTAGAGCTCCAAGCGAGAATGATTGCCGACGGGTTCGAAGACCCTGCGACGGGTTCCGCTGCCTGTGCTATCGGAGGGATGATCGCCCTGAAGCGAGCCAGCTCTCGAGTTACCCAGCTCAGCATCCTCCAAGGTGTCGAGATGGGCCGGAAAAGCGAAATTGGTGTCGAAGTTACACTCAACGCGAGTCTCACGGCCGTGGAGAGGATCGTATTGAGTGGAGCAGCCGTTAGGGTCATGGAAGGTGTTGTCGAGTATTGAGTTGTGCTATGAATGGTAGTGTTTGGTCCGTGGCGTATTCTAGATTGTAGGCTTTCCGTACGAGCTTGGCCAGGCTGGGGGGAAGAACACACGATCAGACTAGAAGCTTTCCAAATTGCTTCCTTCTGTGCGATGGACCATCTAGGTCTAGTTTTATGTCTTTAGCGTTTGGTGGAGACGAGAGGTGCGAACTACACGTGCATGGGGTAAGGTCCAGAAGAGGGAGGTCGTGAAGGCCGGTGCCAGCTCGTATACAGATTAAATTGCACATGAAGGTTGCCGTGTCGACGTATATTTAAAATGATGCTCGGATGGCTGGCTTGGTAGTAGGCTCTTCGGTACCTAGTGCAGTTGCATCGCTTATGCGTTGTCTTTGTCGATTATGCTAGCCGGCAATATCAGAAAAGGGATGAGCATTAATTAAGCTACAAGTCATTAGAGAGAGTCAAACTCCGGGTATCAAGACGCTACAAGATTTAACGCATCTAGTCACGAGTGTGGTCCCCTTCATCGCCATTGACGCCCAGCAGCGCCATTTCCTTTGGTGATAGCTTCTTGTCCGAAACTGGTCGCTCTCCATTCTGAGACGGCATGTTAGCCAACCACGAAGGAGGCGTCATACCAGTCTGATCTCGAATTGTGCTGAGTAAAGGCGGCAAGGCCTTGAACAGGTTCTAAACCAGACAATCAGCCATAGTCCACAAGCGAAACATGCGTTGTCAATCTACCTGAATGGGAGCCATGGAATCGGCTCCGCTATCATTGCCACCAGTCGTCCAGACGTTGATCTTTGGCTGCAAGCCGTGGATAGCTTTCGCGTTCGCTTCAGCTAGGCTCTGATACGTTCCGGACTGCAGCATAAGCAGTTCTAATAGCCCCTGCGGTCCACCCATCACCTCACCAAGAGCAGCGTAGGCCTAGAAGAGAAAAGAGCGTTAGCTTTGCGATTTTGGCGAGTGCAATGTGCTCGTCCCACAAAGTCCAAGCCCAGGCGAAACTTGAACCTGAGCGAGACCTTTGCGGGTCTGCGGAGAGGGTACACAGCAAGTGACTACTAACCTTGGCCATCTCAGTGAGACCGTCAGCTTCTCTTTTCCTTGCGATGAAAGCTGCCTCGGCTTCCCGCTCTTTCGCTAAGAACGATGCCTCGATTTCGCGAGCCTTCATGATGTACATTGCTTCTGCTTCCTTTCCGCGAGCTGCCAACATGGCTTCGGCATCCTAATGGGTAAGGCGTTAGCTTTTTCGAGATCAGAGTGGTTCTGTAATGGCGCCTGTATGTCTAGAACGGCAGCCGTTTGCATGCTATTGCTTCCACTAGAGGACCACCACTTACCTGCATTCGCTTATAATTCGCAGCATCGGTTTCCTGTTTGGAATTGAAATAGATGGCCTCTGTTGTTGCCTTCTGGTTGTATTGTTCAGCGTCTGCTCGTTTCGTCTCCGTATAAAGATCGGCATCGGCTTTCTCCTGAGCAGATTCTGGGAGCAGTCAGCGATATTGCAATCTCAAGGAGCACCCACTCAAATGCAGACATACCTTTGGCAATCTTGGCCTGAGTCACTGTGGTAGCTCTCAGTCTCTCCAGTTCCATCTCTGCTCTCTTCCGCTCGACGTCCTTTTGTAGCTCTGCATCGCGTTGCTCGGCCGCCCTTGAGGCAGCGATTTGCTCCAGCTTTAGCTCACGAGAGATGATGATTTCTCTCGTCTTGAGCTTCTGGTCTGCGTTGGCCTTTTCAACCTTACGCTCAGTCTCCAGAACGGCGGTTCGTGCATCGATTTTGGCAATCTCCTGCTTCGATTCGCCCTCCTTCTCAGCAGAACCGACTTTCCCCAACATTCTGGCATGGGCAACGTCTACCTAAAGGCGAGGGTAGAAGGGTTAGCGATTTCTTGGACATTTCCAATGCGGCCCAGAGCATCTTCAAACTACCCTAAACGCCATCTGCTCTTCGATATACTTACTTGTGCCTGGGATTGTGCACCTTCATGGGCCTTTCGGGCAAGCGATTCGAAGTACCTGCTCTCGCCCATGTCCTGGAGCTCCTTGACGTTCGCATTGTAGATCTTCAATCCGAATTGGTCAAGTTCCCCTATCCGTGCTGGATCAGCACACATTCAGAAGATCGGGTCTGATTCAAGCTCACCTTGTACACTGCTGATCACATTTGCCTTGAAGAGGCGTCTGTTGTTGAAGAGTTCCTCCATTGTCATTGTAGAGACGATAGAACGGGTCTCGCCTTCAATGATACCTTTGACAATATCCTGAACGTGATTGCGGCCTGGGGCCACCAATCCAGTTTTGCCGGCTGCGTTTACTTGGCCATCGCTGTCGCCGGTCAGGAGCACTGCGTACTTGATGAGACTCTCTTCGCAGTCATCTGGTCCGATCGTGAACACCTGGTCAAGTCAGGATGCGGTACAAATGCCACAGCAGATTGTCAAAGTTTTTGCATACCGCAGGAAGCGCGAATTGTAGCTTCTCGCTTGTCATGGCTTGTAGCGACATAGAGAAGTCGAAGGGCGTGATGCTCAGCTTGGTCACCTTTTGAAACGGGTACACGAATGCTTTCTTTGTGATCCGGACCTTCTCGATACCAACGCCCGTGATGGCGAGGTACCTAAAGCGAAGTATAGAAGGTAAGCATGTGTATTAGATATCTAAGATATTGGGGAGGAGTGTAGAGGCTTCGAGACATGCTCTTTGCCTTCCATTCTGTAGTTTGACGTACGAATTGGGCTCGGAGACGTGATACCACATGCTTGCGGTCGGTGGTGGTATCGTTAGCGTGACGAGAGGTCGGTATTGTGAGAGAGGAGAGGTGAGAATACTTGACGTAGCGATCGGAGCAAGTTAAGATGAGGAATATTAGTATACAAGAGTAGGGTCTGACGGCAACTTTGTTGTCATATATGGGGGGCTGAGTGGGCTCGCCTGGGACTGCGGCATCACAACACCAGGTCATACGGAGGACAAATGCAATTTTCCCATGGAAGGATTGTCGACATCAAAGGCTATGCAAGTGGCCCAATGCCTGTGAAGGGCATCACCTTTGACCGGTGTACCATAGACGGATGAAGTGGGTCTTGTGTATGCTTGGCGAGTACTAGCGGCTAGGCGAAGCAGACGGCAGACAAGGCTGAGCAGCATCCCGCAGGTATGGCCTCTTCCATCGTTGCCGCATACCCGCGATGTCTATCTCGTGAATTCAACACATGGGTCTGAATCCGTAATGTATGGCAACGGAAATTCGCGCAAGATCCTTCACAATGGAAGGCTGCTCCAATACGAAGGCTGACGCTGGGGGCGAGGTCACGGCCTCTCGGCTTGCAAGTTTGGTAGACCAGAATCCTGCGCTGACTTTTGGGGCAGTGTTATAAGCCTGGAGAAACTTACTGAGCCATGGTAAAAGGCCTCCCGTGACCGTCCTCGGCTTGGCAGGCGCCGAACTTCCCCCTCTTGCGACATTCTCCATMGTCACTTGTTACCACCGGGACAAGTCATTAGTAAAGCACGTCGAAATCTTGCACTTCAGCTACGTCAACCCAACCTCGCTCCTATTTACCAGTATTTGGTACCATCATGGATCCGCCCTCATATGAAGCCATCGAATCCAGCCACGCCGAAAAAGTTGACTCACAGGATCCTTATGCAAAAATCCCAACAAGGCTGAACCTTCGAGATGAAGTCTACGCGTCAAGATTGCAGCATGTGGCAGCACTCGTTGCTCAATTGCTGCCTCATCTCAGAGCGAGAGCACAGCAGGGGCTATCCAGAACATGCGTGTTGGTTCTGCCATCAGACAGTGAGTTTGGGAACGATCCATGAAGATCAAAATACGTTGTATAACCCGAGACAGCAACTCAAAGAACCAAAGGCCAACTGGTAGGATTTCCGGAAGATGAAATACCGGTTCCTATCCAACTAGAGGGTGGCTACGACGGTGCGCAGTTCTGGACGCAGCAAGAGGTGATAAGTCTGCTACGCGAGCAGACTCTGGCGGCCGTCAACTTTGAAATGCCCAGGTCTGAGGGCCTTGATGCCATGACAGAGCCAGTTTGTCCAGATCCAGTACCAAGATCTTCATTTTGGAGCCGAAAGCAGAGCAAGGCGCCAGCGTCCATACCTTTTGCAGCGAAGTCGAGGAGGCCGCCCGTAGCTGTAGATGTCGAGTCAGACCTGTTCAGCTTCAGAAGTGAAACGGAATACGGCCYTTTCGAGACTCTGCAAGCGCGCGGTGTGCTCATCACAGTGGAYGTCAGATAGCAAGACGATATGTTGCAATGTCTTGGTAATGCAAATCAGCAGATGACAGGGTGCGCTCAGCCTGCTGCTGTCTCGCCGGCCTTTTCCTTCGCACGCTTAGGCAATGCGCCCTGCTCGTCCTTTTTTTGACCTTCGGCATCGAACCCAAGGTTGTCAAGCTGGCGAATCAACTCTTGGATCTTAATAACAGAAGCGAGCTTGTCCTTGAGTTCACGTGCTTGACGCAGTTTTTTGGCGAGTTTGCGTGCTTCCTTCGCCCTCTCTACTTCGGGGTCCACGTCGGCAGGCTCTTGCGGCTTGGGCGCAGTATCGGCCTGAGGTTCTCCGTTTGAAACTTTGGCATTGTCGGCGGCACCCTCATCCTCGCCACCATCGTCTTTCCCTTCTCCAGCGGCTGCAGCCTTCTTCCTAGCCTCCCTCCGTTTGGCATTCTTCCCAGCGGCAGCGGAGAGAGGTGCCTTTTCTTCCTCCACAGCTTCTGCACCCACCACGCCGCCTTTGCCTCTGTTCTTGAAGGCATGGGCTGTGCGATTCTTGTAAACCTCCACATCCTCTGGCGGCTTGTAACCTGGCTTCACTCGTATCTCCTTGCGTACCGAGCCATCTGGGCGGGTCGAAGAAGGAATAACCGATTCACCCGTGCTGAGCTTTCGAATGCCCGCCCGAGAGGTATCTGTTGTAGGCGCCATAGCCGGTATCTTTCTAGTCGTCTCTGTCCTGCCGCAGCAGCGCGTTGGAAGAAGTGTGTTGTKAGATGGTCGAACGTAAATCCAGTCGGTGACAAAAGAGGGAGCTTGCATTGGACGTTCTCCCTAGCGCCGATCGCATCGGCATCGCCGCGGACCTTCAACTTTCACTTCACGACAAGTCGACGACAGCCACGATCACGACCACGACCACCGACGCCTCCAATCTGCCCTCTCGACCTCTCACACGATCTTCTCAAATCACGACCGCGACTGAAAAATGGCTGGCGTCTTTGGAAGCATTTACAAGTCGGTGACAATCTGCATCATGTCGTGGGGGATAGTTGGCTAACCAGCCTTACCTTACAGCATCTTTGTCAAGCGCAATGCTGTGTTCCTAGGGACCATCTTCGTGGGCGCATATGCCACCAGCCTGTACGAACCAGCCGAAGCCCACGCGAAAGCGAAGCGCATCTCTAACCTCGTCACAGTGGATTCGATGTTGGAGCAAACCTTGTCTGGGACAGGATTAACCGCGGCGTAGGTCGTTCTAGTATGGCTGCACATATCTCGCATCGCTGACAAGGACATATAGCGACAATGGAAGGATATCAAGCAACGGTACATGGAAGCTGGCGACGAGGACGACGAGTAGAGGGGAAGATGCTGTGAACAGGTAGCAGGAAAGCGGCAACGGTAGCGGGTATGCAGGAAGATATTGTCGCAATGGCACAATCGCCGGCGTCAGGTGCCACTCAAAAGGCGTACACAAATGTATTAGTACGGTCAGAGCGGCAKGGGATGTGAATCTACATGCTTGCCGACATGAGCAAAGCCTTTGCTGCAACTTGGTCCACGTTCCGATGACCGATCGATGCACGCGTGTTGCACCAGATTACCATGTTTTCATGTGCATATATGTACTTTACCACCACTCGGTTGTCATTCCCGAAAGCATGCTTTCTACGTCACCGATATTACTTAGTACTGTAATCCGTAACAAAATATAAGTCGAAGAGCCTCGTTCGTGGACCCCGCAGACCTCACAATTCCATACCTTACGTCCTTGCACAAATCAACGACTGCGGCGGCAAACTTGATCAGCGACTCGAGTCCGACGAGCCTGATTTCGAGCAGCGCACACCGCGTTAGCGAGGATAGACCAGATCACGAGAACATGGTCCTGTCCGATGCAGAGCGCGACCTCAACCGCAAATTCCTCATCCAGCCCTCCAAATTCAGCTACCGCTTCACCGATGCCGCCGACCGTGACCTGCGGATAACACTGTTCAGATCTCTGGCCGGAGGACGTGAGGACTATCTACGATACTTTTTCCCTAACGGAACCCCCTCTGACTCACAACCATGGTCTCTCCGCAGTGCGCAAGGCGCGGTGGATGGCGCGGAGTACTTGCCAGCTGCAAAGGGAACTGCCTGCGGGCWCATCTTTAGGGTGGGGGAGAACACATACTATTGCAAGACATGCGCCGCGGACGATACATGCGTGCTGTGCTCCAAATGCTACGAAAGCAGCGATCATGAAGGGCACATGGTCCTGATCTCAACGTCAACCGGCAACAGTGGATGCTGCGACTGTGGAGATGCAGAAGCGTGGAAGAACGAAGTGCGTTGCTCCATACACACGGCAGATGTCGACCGAGGGCCTCAGTCAAAGTCGAGTGGTAAAGAGAGGGAGAAGCCTTCTTCGCAGAATGCAAGTCAGCTTCCCCAGGATCTGGTCGAGTCTATCAGGACGACGATCGCGAGGAGTGTGGACTACATGTGTGATGTCCTTTCATGCTCGCCTGAGCAGTTGCGTCTTCCCAAATCCGAGACTTCGATACGCCAGGACGAAAGACTCTCGCGGCTGTCGGGTGTGTATGGGGAAGAGATACTACAGGCCAAGCCCGAGTTCGCACTCATTCTTTGGAATGACGAGAAACACACCGTCGACGACGTGCAGAATCAGGTGGCAAGAGCTTGCGCGAACACCAAGAGATTTGGTTTCGAAAAGGCGATGGAGGTCAACGACATTGGCCGTTCAATCGTGCAGTTTTCCACTGATCTAGGAGCGCTCCTACACATGGCCGAAGTAATCGAACAGATCAAGGTCACTGTGACCATTCGATCCTCGCGAGACACCTTCAGGGAGCACATGTGCGCAACTATCATCGATTGGATCTCGGACATTGCCAACTGCGGGGTGGGGGAAAATGAGCCCTATCTCTTGAGGAATATTGTGTGCGAAGAGCTTCTCAACCCGTGGCGAGTAGGAAGTCAGGCGATCAACAAAGACATTGGCCAAGCCGGCATCGACGATCACGAGGTGGAAGACAACGAGGCATTCCTGAGCCGGCGGAGGCTTCGAGCGTGGATGCAACCTCTGAGACCTGCTGCGAACGTCATACGCGTGGAGGTGGAACTTGACGATACGACCAACGAAGACGACGATGATGAGAACGACGTTGACGATGACGAATATGACGATTTTGATGATATGGACATCGAAGAGGACAATGACATGGATCTAGAAGTCGACGAATCTAGGATAGATGCCGCGGACATGGACATTGACATTTTGGAAGAGGCCGACGATGTAACCGAGTCGCTAGAAGCTGCTCTGGGAGGCTACCCACCACCACCGCCTCCTCCTCCGCGAAGCCACAACAGACGAAGAATCACGACACCTGCCGAAAGCGACGACGGCGAAGGCGAACAGGTGCGGCCGCCATACAATGCTCCGTATGAGAATGTCCCGGCTACACCCAAGCTTGCGAGACCACGCCGCAATCGACCCAGCAAGCACTGGCTTGAGAAGCCTCAAGGTTTCAGAGGGCCTCGACCAAGCGAGCCGTGCGAAGATCTGTGGCAGCGAGTGCGACTCGATTTCTTGATCCTCTATGACTTGAGGCTGTGGAAGATTCTTCGAATCAACTTGCGACACCTCTACATCACCACAGTTGTCACAATACCCCACTTCAAGCGCATAATCGGATTGCGGCTTGCGGGTCTCTATACGGCTCTTGCTCAGCTCTACCTCATTGCAGACCGTGAGCCGGACCACTCTATCATCAACCTGACGGTACAGATACTTACCACCCCAACCATCACCCAGGAAGTAGTCGAGAGGGGCAATTTCTTGACGAATCTCATGGCAATTCTATACTCCTTCCTCACAACCCGTCAAGTTGGCTTTCCCGAGGATGTCAGTATGAGGGCAACATTGGCATTCGACGCCGGTGCAGTTACGAATCGCCKAATCTTCCATTTCTTTATGGATCTCCGGTGGTTGTTCCAGTCCGAATTCGTACTTTACAAGATTCGCAACGAGCCACGCTACTTGCTTCAATTCCTGGATCTGGTCAAGTTGCATCAAGGTGTATGCCCAAATGTGCGCGCCACTGTTGAGCATGTTGAGTACGAGTCCGACGCGTGGATCAGTGCCAGCTTGATCGTCAAGGAGGTCAACAAGCTGTGCAAATTCATTGCGGTCGCCTTTGAGTCCAGTCCTACCTCTGATGATGGCAACAGAGCGCTCCAACGTGCCATCCGTACGGTTGCGCAAGTTACCATGATCAACTCGTTTGGCTATGAGCGAAAACGATTCAGCGCTGCCGAGGTCAAAGATGATCTTGCCTGGCATCAAGTCGGCCCCTTTGAAGCTAATGGGAAACTCTACAGCGTGCCCAAGTTTGTGGTGCAGGAAGAACCTATCAGTTTCCACCATCCGCTACATTACCTCCTCTCCTGGCTGGTGGAGAATGCTAGGAGTGTCAGTCGTGACGAGATGCGAACTCTACTGCACTTTGCGCCAGAGGACCTCAAGGACCCTTTCAACGCGACCAAGACCGCGCCTGCGCCGGCCACGCTGACCTCCGATGAACTGCTCAGCGCCATCTTCGATCATCCTCTACGGACGTGCGTCTGGCTGTCTCAGATGAAGGCAAGCATGTGGGTCAGGAACGGCATCACGCTCAGACACCAAGCACACACCTATCGTAATGTTTCGCACCGAGATGTGGGGTATCAGCGCGATATCTTGCTAGTCCAAGCCGGCCTGGTACTCTGTGGCGATGAGCACGAGCGTCCAGGAGAGAGGTTCCTAGCCCAGATGATTGATCGATTTCAGGTGGGCAACTGGGTCAAGGGAAATTTCGACCTCATCCCTGGCTTCGAAGAAACACAACAGCTAGACGTGATTGAAGACTTCCTTCACCTCCTGGTCATTGTTCTCTCCGAACGGGGAAATCTCCTGCCGAGCGTTGATGAGATGACGCAACACGACAAAGTGCTCCAGCACGATATCGCGCACGCTCTATGCTTCAAGCCGCTGTCTTTCAGCGAGCTGGCAAGCAGAGTCACTGAAAAGGTTGGCGAGTCGGACGATTTCACACGTGTGCTTCACAGCATGACCAACTTCCGCGCACCCGAAGGACTCAGCGACACTGGCACATTTGAGCTGAAGTCAGACTACATCGAGCTTGTCGATCCATACTACGCTCACTACTCTCGCAATCATCGCGAAGAGGCAGAGAACATCTACAAGAAGCACATGGCGCGCAAGCTTGGCAAGAAGGTCGAGGATGTTGTTTATGAGCCGCGCCTTGAAGCAATCGACAGTGGCTTGTTCGCCAACCTTGCTGGTTTTACATCCACTCCTCTTTTCGTGCAGCTACTGGGTGCAGCGTTTCAATTTGCAATCAGCGCCAAGCGGGCCGCGCCCAAAGTGCAGTCTACACGGGTCGAGACTTTCCTTCATATGGTATTGCACCTTACCATGCTTGCCGTGATGGAAGACAAGAGTGCGAGAAGTGCTGACAGCGGGTTTGTGTTTCACGCTGCTTCGTCTGTATGCAGCTACGMCACGTCTGATAAAACCGAAGGCAACCCGTCCACGGAGCAGACGAGTCTGGTCAAGCTATTGCTCGAGACATCCCACCATGGCGAGTATACCTCTTGTCACCCTGCTATCAAACATGTACTCTCGCGGATGGAAGCCTGTCAGCCTGAAAAGGTAGCCGCCGCGACCGGTCTGMACAGCCTCGATCGCTTCCTTTGCCGTGGTGATTCTGGATCTCCAGCGCCTCTCCCAGCCGAAGACAAAGAACGCAGAAAGCAGGAAGCCCTCGCCCGCCAAGCTAAAGTGATGGCTCAGATGAAGCAGCAGCAGAATAGCTTCTTGCAGAATCAGGGTCTGTCAAGCTTTGATGATGAGCTGGATGACTTTGAGGACGACATGTCTGTTACTGATGACGCGGAAAATGTCGAGCGCCGTAAGACATGGAGTTTCCCGACAGGTACCTGCATTCTTTGTCAAGAAGAGACCGACGACCAGCGTCTGTACGGAACCTTTGCCTTTCTCGGGGAGAGCAACATCCTCCGCTCGACTCCTGTTGAGAACTTTGAGTACGTCAAGGAAGTTGCTGCTACCCCTTTGAGTCTCGATCGCTCTGCAGAGGACATTCGTCCATTCGGCGTGTCTGGTGACAACAAACGGAAAGTAAGAAAGGAAGGGGCCAACGGTCGGGCCATCGTAACCGAAAGACAAGAGTTGTCTAGAGGTTTCCCACACCAGAAAGAGGGGATCAAGGGGCCTGTTGCTACCAGCTGCGGCCACATCATGCACTTCAACTGCTTTGAGCTGTACCTGGCAGCTACGCAGCGTCGTCATTCACAACAGATCGCACGCAACCATCCCGAGCGAGTCGAGTGCAAGGAGTTTGTCTGCCCACTCTGCAAAGCCTTGGGCAACACATTTCTTCCCATCATATGGAGGGCGAAGGAAWGCGCACATGAGCATGAAGTTCACGCTGCAAAGACGTTCCAGGATTGGCTCAACGATGCTGACTCAGCCTACGCCGCCGACCTCTCATTCTTGGACAATGACGATGCGGGCTCTGCTATTACTCGAAATCAACAGGTGCGCGATTTTCACTCGCAGCGACTGGTGCCATATGTGGCGAGCATGTTCGCGCCATCTCTTGTACAGCAGGACATGCAGGACCTCTCACTGGAGAGCCAGCCTGCAAGTCAGACTAGTCGTCGCCCTAATTTCAGTGCGGCCGCTGTCAGTCTGTTCTCCAGATATGTTGGAGCACACCCAAACCATACTCAGACCCCTCAATCACCGTCCACGGGAGAAGGTCGGACAAATGACCTCTGCCTTGCCTACCGCCGCATTGAAGAGACCATCAGGGTCAATGGTCTGAATGGAGCGCATACCGGGCTTGGGAATGCTGTCGGTGTCATGTCCCGCTCCCTTGGATTGTCCATCTCATCGTTTGAGATCACATTTCGGGGCGTGAACAACAGCCCCAGCGCTACGACATTGATCGCCGATATGCCAGAGCAAGTCCTGACCCACCTCCGCATCATGTCCGAGACGATCGAGTCGTACCTCGCCGTGATGACGTTGCCAACTGGTCCTAATGCCATTGCACGCGAGACGATCCGAAAACGGGACATTATGGCTGTGCAGCTGTTCGGCGAAGAGTCCGAAGCACGCATGGTGAACCTGAAAAACATGACTGGAACATTGCTATTCCAGGATGACATCTTCCTCTTCTTTGCCGACTGGCTGTCGTACATGGCACCAGATGTTGCAGAGGCCGCTTCCATTCTGCGAATCTGCTAWTGGGCAGAGCTTGTCAAAGCGATCTTTGTGATGCGCAGTGTGGTGAGAGAACAAACCGATCTTCGACATGGCAACGAGCCGAGCAATCAACAGTTGAAGCATGCGATTGATGCAATGCAGTTGGACGACAACTATGGCGACCAACCACTGGACGATGCTCAAGTCGCCATTTTGCGCGTGATTCTTGACAAATATGCCCTGGCCTTCTTGCGCAAATCTGCCGTGCTGATGGTGATACGATATGGTCTTGATCTCGATTGCCCCTACAACGTCAATTCAGAAGCCCCGGAATTGGAACGACTGACAGCACATTTACACCTGCCTTCGCTTGACGAAATCTGTGCCATCTTTACGTCTCAGAGCACCGCGGGCCACAAGCTACGAACCATTACCGGCCGTTGGATCTCGCAAGCAATTACCATCACACGCCACGAGTTGGCCAGTTCAGACACCTCCTCGACGTCAATCACTGTGCCACACCCAGCAATATTCGAACTGGTCGGTCTGCCAATGAACTACGACGTCCTCACAGAAGAAGCCATTCGTCGCCGATGCCCGACTACTGGCAAAGAGATCACGGACCCAGCAATCTGTCTTTTGTGTGGTGAGATCTTCTGCTCACAAGCCRTCTGTTGCATGGATGACAAACGTCTCGGAGGATGCTATCAGCACATGGAGAAGCACGGTCTCAAAGTCGGAATTTTCATCAACATCAAGAAGTGCATGGTGCTTTGCCTTCACGGGCCTGGCAGTGGCAGCTGGCTACCAGCTCCCTATCTTGATAAGCATGGCGAGACGGATCCGACATTACGCAGACATCATCAGCTGTTCTTGAACCAGAGACGTTATGATAAATTATTGCGGGATGTGTGGTTGAATCATATGATCCCTACGGTCATATCGAGAAAGTTGGAGAGTGACATCAATCCTGGCGGATGGGAGACATTGTAGATGGCTCCAGTCGGGTCCCACTGGGCTGACAGCTCGGCTACTGGAGAGGCGTGGTGTTCCTACATTGATTTTGACAGCGACATGGTGGCTGCTGGGATTGCAATTTTGATTTCTGTGCTCGTAGCGGATAGACTGCCTTGGGAGTCGTGAATTACTAGCAACGATTGGCGAGGTGGTGTTACTGGTGTTGTGTAGCTGCAGTCTGAGGCGTGCATCGGTGYTTTTCCTGCATGTACACTTGAAACCACACCGCCTCATTGGTGGCCTGTGTTGGAAATTCCTTCGAGTCCATTGGCGTAGCAGCGGTCTTCTCTCGCCATTTCACTTAATTCCAATCGAATAGGAGCAGAGCTTCACACTCGCATGGGTAGGTTCTGGGCAAAGTTCGATCAACACGTCGAGCTGTGGTCTATCATCAAAAGCCGCATCAAACCTTGTGGTTGGTGGTTCATCCCGAAAAGCGAGACGCGGTTTTAAGGCGACGCTGGGTCGGAGAGACTATTCTCTTGTCCCGTGCCTGCAAGTAATTGCGGCATCGGGAGAGGCGATTCCTACTACATACCAACGATTTCACCTGCAGTGCTGCCCCACCTTGGACGTTGACAGAACGGCGGAACTACTGCTGGCAGAGGCGCGGCTTCAAGACCCGCCGTGGCGGTTCCAGCAAACTCAAAGCGTCATCTCTCGACCGCCAGCTTTTCGCATGCCGATGAAATATGGGAAATAATGCTGGCTGGTCCGCGGATGCGTCGATGGTTATGGAGGTGGGAGCGGGACGAGAAATCTCGCGGTCCACTTTTGATTTGATAAGGGAGGTTGAGATGGAAATCGGAGCCCTAACGAAGGTTTAGTGGCTAGAGCATGGTCGGTTCTTCTTGAATCGCAGACCGAACGAACGACTGTAGTTGCCCACACCGGAAAGGCATAGAAGTGCGGGCGCGGCGTCGGAATGTCGGGTAAAGGGGCTTTTGCAAGGTCTCCACCTGGTTATGCATGGAAGAACTGATGGAGCGGGAGAATTTCTGTCGCTCCGAGGCATGCAGCTGGGTGGGGGGGGGATGAATGGATGGCGATGCCGATGGCTCACGTCGGCCGTTTGTTTGGCGACGAGTTCATCGTGACAGCCTTGTCGTCGTGTCTTGCCGTCCTCGGATTATTATCTCATCGTGCGCCTCGCGAGGATTTTGGCTTTTGTTGGAATACTGAGATGGCGAGCAGGAGCGGCCGTGCATCTGGAGAGTTTAGTGTGGCGCTAATTATCTGCCCCCCTGCCCGCCCTGGGGCCTGAACCAGCATACCTAGGAGGCTCCGTTTTGATCTAAAGACCAGACCCTTGGCCGCACGCCAGAGACGCTCAACAACAATTGGAGTCGACACGCCGATTCGACTGTGTGCTCTCCTTTCCTCCCGACTATCCACCGGCACGCCGACGAGGAAACGAAACACGAACCCGGCCGCAACACGCAAGCACGTTTGCTCCAGGAACGTAAACAGGGAGCACCCTGGACGCCGTAGGAGTGCTGACGACATTGTCTGGTTGTTCATTGAGATTGAGTTGTGGAGTGAGGGCTTAACAGGACTTGGGAGTCAGGATAGGGCGTTAGGAGGTAGCCGACGAGTAAGGTACCGAGGGGCGGTCATTTGCAGACAGATCTCAGCGGAGCTCGCGCCATGGCGGCGTGAATTAATACGCAGGAGAGGAAAACCCCAGCACTCTAACTGTGCCATTCGMACCAGGCGGCGATTGCTCGAGTTGCTCCTTCGAGTTCCACGGACGGCACGAGAACCTGATCACATCGCACCGCAGCAGCGGACACGGCAAGCTGCACCTGGGACCTCGAGCGTTGCAACAGGGCACAGGCACGACAGCCTCTCTGTACGACTCGACGAGGGCCTATAGTACTTTGGATTTGTGGTGCAGGAAACACCAACTCACGCGAATCGGGTTCGGCGCTCGCTTCCGATCGACAAGAGGCGCATGAGTCGTACCGAGTAGGGTCGTAAGGGTGTAACGGGAGCGCGCAGGGAAGAGAGTAAAGACGTGCAGACGCAGAGGCGGGTAGTAGCAGCGAGCTCGAAGGCGCTGATCTCTGATTGTCGGCGGAAGTGGCTCGAGACCATGCAAGCTGTTTCACCTGCGCAGGGCCCGTTTGACGCCGCTGCTTTGCACCAGCAGCCTAGGAGGAATGATCGCTCCAACTCGCTGTCCTCTGGCAGCGTAGTGACCATCAGACGGCCCGCTTCAATCTCCCGTGTGCGCACAGAGGGCTCTGCCGGGGACCCATCATTGATACCCTTACGCTTGGGGCGTAACTCGATCTCCAGCGAGCACAAGCACGACCTCTCTGACCAACCCTCCTTTGCGCATTCGGCCTCGGGTTCCGGCGACGCCTTGGGCATGAGCAGCATCAATCGCTGGTCCCACTCCACCACCTCCAGCGTCGCATCGCTAGCGCACGGCCGACGAAATCGCAGCATATCATMGCCTCGACGCAGCCCGCACAAGCACCGCAGTCGACAGTCCGCAGTCGACAGCCAGTCGACCTCCCTCACTGCGATACCGCCGCTACAAACCACACCTTTATTGACCGACCCGAATGACACCGAATCTCCCTCAACAAGTCAAACTGTTTCGACACCTCCCATTTCCTCGCCCGAGACGCACGACTACTTTGGAAGAGATGAAGGCCTCGCACAGTACGGCATGGCCAAGACTCAGCAACGCGTCGTAATGGTTCGTAATCAGACGGCGCCAGTCCCTGTTGTGAAATCGCGAGCAATGGACGAGCACGATCAGAGGGTAAAACGCGATGGTGATCACCGGAGAACGACGCGCGAAAAGACCGAAAAGGACAAGAAGGCAATGCTTTCCAAGGCCCTGCAAAAAGCAAACACTGCAGTTTTGCTGGACAATGCGCAAAATTATGAAGGCGCGTTGGAAGCCTATGGAGACGCGTGTGAATTGCTCGGCCAGGTCATGAACCGAACATCGGGAGACGATGACAAATGCAAGCTCGATGCCATCAGGGTGACCTACAGCAACCGGATGGAGGAACTCGACCAGCTTGTCGAGGAGATGCCGGCCCTGTCCGACGAGAAGGACCTTCCTGCAAGACCACTAAGCGCTGAGAGTCGACCATTGAGTCCCAACTCAAGCGGATTGGTCACGACCGGGATAGATGGAGCGTTGCATGGGAATGAACTTGGCGCTCCTGAACGAGCGGATGCCCCGAGGTTATCGTACGCGCGTAATGACGGAGACAGTTTCTTTGCGAGGACCATGGCAGCTGTAGAAAGCTCGACCGCCTTCAAATCGGAAAGCGAAGACGAGTCAGTCACCGATGATTCTGCAGTCGCGGCAGCTGAAGAGGCAGATGATGATCTCCGGCAAGGACGAGAATCGAGCCATGTGCCACCATCTGATATTGACCAGTATATGCCACGGCCGCTCTCTCCCAGGAGAGCACAGCTTACGGCAGAACCATCTCACGCCGATGATGCTTGGGATGGAGGAGTAGTACTTGAGCCACAAAGCGATGTAAAGCAGCCTGGAAGAAGTCGATCCAACAGCAAAGACTCTGTTTCCTGGCTGGACACGATTGATGAATCCGCATCATCATGTTCCGATTCTGTACACTCATTTTCATCCCAGCGGGAAGTGCGCAGAAAGCACATTCGAGGTATTAGTGGCGTCACTGATCCAGACTTTGACGCCGCTTTCGACGCCGCAGTAGAGGCAGCCTACGATGAGGGCTTGGAGCCGGATATGGAGGCACGTACCAAGCAAATGGCGGCCTACCGGCAGAGACAGAACGAGTCCATCAACATTCCCGCGTCCGAGATTGACGAAATCATCCCTGGGGCTTTGCAGACGTCAAAGGCGGCTCCAGATTTGGAGGACGAAGAGGAAGAGCGAATCCTCGACGAAATGACCAGCGAATATGGACAAGGATTCAACTTTGATCTCCAGACCAAGTCAGCTCTTCCCCGGCAATCGGATTCCAGCGGATACTCGAGAAGCACATGGCAGAGCTCGCAAATGTCAGATCGTGCCACCGCTGCAACTTCGCTCTCAACCGTAGCAGAAGATGGACTGGCGCAAAGATTTTCAAAAGTCACAACGAATGGCGCACGAGTCGATCCGTCTGCTCTTCCGCCGGCGACGGCACCCCCACGGGGGTCACTCCCACTCCCACCGCCACCGATTGCAGCCAACAGCAGTCGAGTGTCGACTGTGCGAAGCCGTAGACTCTCAAGCATCAACTCGAAGCAACTCAAAATCGAGACAGTGGCCCAGCCTGAGGGTCGCAAAAGGGCATCTACCTTCCACCATACCAGCAGCCCATTTCTGGAGGGGCCAAAGGAGGATGATCCCTCCGAGCAGAAGGACCAAGAGGGACAGCGTCTTTCCGACTCGCAGCACGACCATCTTTTGAGATCTCCACCGTCGCTAGAGTTGCATACAGCGTTGGATGACATGAACGGGTTGGCGAATTCGACAGTGACGGACTTTAGACCGAGCTATGAAACACTGCCCGGCGATCTGCTGGCAACGAGACCCGCTCTCTACAGGAAGAACAAGTCCTCCGTCAGCTTGCGGGACCACCCCGAGCATACCATCCTTCTGGCCWCCCCTGATCCCGATGCTAGCTTTCCAACGGCCACACCCATGAGCACGACGTTCATGAGCTTCGCAGCGCGCCGTAATCACAGCGCAATGACGTCGCAGCGTGCCACTCTGCCATCAAATGCATTAAATGGGACAGACAGCTACATGGCCGGCGGCATTTACCTCTTCGACACGTCGCTGTCCGTAGCACCGGGCCCGACATCCCCTCGATCACCAAACTCCACGCCTCAACCCGCAGGCCTTGAACCGTGCCCGGAATCCTTCATGTTACGCCCGTTCTGGCTAATGCGCGCGCTCTCCTCAACAATAATACACCCAAAGGGAGGGTTCTTAACAACCAAGACATTCGTGCCGCGCGAAGTGTGGCAGGCGACGGGTGTGAAGCTCAAGGTTGTTGAGGATAAGATTGCAAATTGCGATTTGCTCACGGCCGCGCTTGGCCGCCTTGCGGGTGTTGATACGTATGATGCAGACGCAATCATGGAGGAGCTTCAGAGCTTTGAGGAAGTCATGGAACGCGTCCAAGCTGCGCTGTCGAAGAAACTCGGAAACGATGTCGGTGTGCATGGCGTTGCCGGGATGTTCAAGGATGCTTCGGCCGCCAACGCGACGTCTACCACGGCCAATGCAAGTTCGGACATTGCTGCAGCATCCGATAAGGCAGCAAAGAGCAATTCGGGGAAAAGCTATCTCTCCTCCTGGCGCAAGCTCAGGAACAAGAGCTCTGGCACGCCATTGTCGACGGCCACGCACATAACCGCCAAGCCCACGAGCGGAAAAGACCAGCACACAATGTCATCTGTCCCCATGACGAGTTTTGTGCCCGTCGAGCGTCGGGGCAACAAAAAAGATGCGCGTAATCTCGTGTTCGAAGGTCCTAATAAAGAATACATGGGATCCCTGGCTCGGCTTTTCGACGGCGTGCAGGTACTCGGTAAGTCAGCAAACCCACCGCTAGTATTCAGCTTGCGTCACGCTCGCTTGCCCACATGCCTGCAAGCGAAACGAGGCGCTTGCAGAACTACACGCTCCTCCCACACATTTCTTCAGATTGGACCTTCGCTAACGCAACGTCTTTCCGCTACAGATCAAATCGCTCGCCAGGTCGAAGACCCTGGGCTCAAGCACTCCTCGCCTACGCATGTTGGCCTGGAACTCAGCATTCGCCACGCAGCCGAGTTCTTTGGTTTTTACGTGTGTCGCTTCGTGCTCGCAGACTTGGGCCTGCTGATGGACCGGTTTGTCAAAAAGGGTACAGAATGGGTCCTGGCTTAAGCGACGCAACTACCCACCACCCCTCCCCCCACGGATGGAAGACAACTACATYAGTCATTTCCGAGAAGATGGCGGAACCGGCACTTTTGTTTGCTATATATGACGAGGATTGTCAAAGGTTCGATTCGATATAGGGCGGGCACGCATGATGTCTGACGACGGCAGAGGGAAGAAGAGTTCAACAGTACTGATGATGCGTTGGTGTCGGTCGGAGCTTTCTGGCCGCGTGTGTTTTTAGTTTTTTGTGCGCTCTTTGGCTTTTTACGCGACGATATCCACCATGCTGCTTGCTGTTTTGACTGTCATGCTTGCTTGGGTTAGACGGTGGGCATCAACGAGGGTGGACGATGAAAGGGAGTCTCATCAGCTCAAAGTATTACGAAGCAGTCATTATTATTCCGATCCAGCTTATTGTTATCCTCGCGAGCATACAAGAACTCGCATCATTACATACTCTCGTTCCACCGCCGGTTCGCAACGTTTCCGTTTCCGCACTCGGACACTTCCACCCTCGAACCACCACCGCGATAGGCTTTGACGAGTCAAGTTTTCAGGGCATACCTCGCATTGCCTTCCGAGCCACCAGCTTGTCCAAATGGACCTGCTTTCGATTTACATGTCGTTGGGGATGCCTGTGCAGCGGACTCGGACCGTCTCGCCTCATTCCAACGATCGGTTGCCCACGTGGCTGGGATGCATCCTCATGAAGATGTGCTTGTAGGACGCGAATTATCGGATGCGGTAGCATATCTACCCGATGCTGGCTGTAAGATTTGTAGCAAGAGGGGCCATCCAAAGGAAGTCGTCTCCGTGTGTGATTTGGAGAAGATGGATCGATCAGTCAAGGCTTTGTACGTTTGCCTCGCTTCTGTCTTCTTCGTTGAATTCTGGAAGGCTTGTCGGGTCGCGGCATCAAGACTTTCTGAGTATCCCCGGAAGATTTCGAGTTGGTTTGTCTTGGGTGTTTTGAGAGGTAGGAAGTGATGTTGTTCGAGAGGGATTGTAAAAAGGCATCGTATTGCGGTGATTGGTTTCCAGCCAGTGGAGTACCCTCTACAAGACTGTCTGTCCTGAACAATTCCATGTCGGACTGTGAGTCTTCTTCCACGAGTTGTTGTTGTTGTTCCTCGAGGTTGGTAGTTTCTTCCTTGGAGGAAACTTGTGTGATGGCGGATTCCTCGTGCGTGATGCTCATGAAGATCAAAGTTGATTAATATCGAGTAGTTGTGTGGAGAAGGATCAAAGAAGAAGCAGTACGAGGCAAAACTATGGAAGGATTTTGGGGGCGGTGGGTGGATCGGTGTATATCTTGAGCGAGCAGGGGCGGTGCACCGAAGAAAGTCAGGTTACAGGCCATAGACATTACATAGACAATATGCGAGGTTGCATGTCTGGGCATTAAATTGCCGTGGCCGTCCTTTCATCACTGTAGCGCCGGTGCTCGTCTAGACTCTAGTTGCTTTCTCGCCCATCCACGAAATTCCCAGACCAGACACACCATGGTCGGCACGAGGGCAGTGATAGGCGGATCCACCGTCCGTTCCAAGCAGTGTCGAGTATCGACGGCCACTTACTTCCCAAGCAGGGCAGGGCACGGCAGGGCAGGGCGGGCGAGCGTGATTGACGTCGGAGCTCGGCTGCGGGCGTCGCGGCACGCTGGACATCGCTTGCGGCTTTCCAGGTATAAGCTTTGCAAGGGTCCACGAGGAACATGGCGTAGCGTACAGTAATAGTACCTATGGATCAGATGGTGAGATCGGTTAACTTACATGAGGAGAGAGATACACGCTCCCGTCCTTGCTCTACTCGGAAGGATGCACACGGAGGCGGACGGGACGCATGTCACCCACGAATGCACACGCACACGCACGCATGCCCAACCGGCTGGCCGGTAGCGAAGCGAAGCGAAGCGAGGGTCATTTCCTGTACTGTATGTCCATCACAGGCGATGGCAAGCAACACGCGAACCAGGACCCGCCCGCAGTGGCAGAGGCAGAACAAGGGAATGAGTGCGGTGAGACGCCTCGGATGCTCTGTGGTGCACCGCCAGCGCCTTTTGGCCTGCCGGGATCTCCATGATCTGCGCAGGCGTCTTGCAAGCGAGATGGAGGCGTCGCGGGACTGTCGGGATGCAAGTGAGACAAGTCCTCATTCATACCTACCTTTTTTGCTCTGCTGCTGCTGTCGCCCGGCTTTTCCTGACCATCATTTTGACACCGCGTTCCAAAACCCGACTACGAGACATTGCACTGGCGAGAAGGTTGATGATGCTGATGATGATGATGATTATGATGATCATGATGATGACACACTTGTTGACGAGATGAGATGAGATAAAGACTCACCAAATTTCAGCTTGCAGGACATGATTCCATGTGAATGAATATGGCTCAACTCGTCGCAAAACCATCATCATCGTTTTGCCGCCACATCCACCTCCGTGCGGTATGCGCTAACACACAAACATGTCCCGCGTTAGGTGATCAGCCACACATGCGCCTCGTTTGGCAGTCTTTGGCGAGACAGTCCTCCCTCACTCACCCTCACCTTGCCAACTCTTGCCAAGGAGGGATATTCAAGACATTAGTAGAAACTCCCCAACAGGACAATGGCTCGCGGACCGATTGCCAAATGCCATCCTTGGTACAGTAAGTGGCTGCTCCTGGATCCTCGATAGTCGACGTTGCTCCACCTGAGATGCGGTGTGCACAAGAGCTATAAGGTAAGACGACATACGAGGCTCGTGGGGCGCTTCTTGACGAGATTCACCAAGTAGTCCATCATTGGCAATGGCTTGCGCTTCGAGGGGTCAGAGTATTGGGGTCAAAGTATATCAAGCCACTCAATCCACAATCCAGATTTTCTTGGTTCTTGGGATCTCTTCAATACATTTCCGCTCCCTCTCCATCCATTACCTTATCTTGCAGCACGCTTGGCATACGGTGCGGCCCGCAGAGTTCGGATCCTCTGTCGTATACTTACGAGCAACTGAACTCTGTGAACTGACTCTCCAAGCGATTGGCCCCGACCAAGGGATCGACAGCGTCATCGCTCTCGCATCTTAACCTCACGTTTGCTTCCACCAAGACAGAACTGCTCCGTATTGACAATAGCAAGCGGTTGCAAGAAGTTGGCCTCAGTCCGGCCGCAAGATTGATCGTCCAGCGCGTCGAATTGATCACTCCCTATCCGGACTCATTGGACTTTCAGCAGTAGGAGGACCTCTGCAGTCGCGTTTGCCTCAATTGGAAACCACCGTGTCGATCGCCGAGAGAAAAGACCCGTGGCCAACAAGGACACTATCGTAGGAGGTACGAGCAGTCGACCGAGTCAGAGCTTACCGTACTCCAGCGAGCCATCGTTACATCTCCGAATTGAAGATTTGACACACGGCTCCACTTCTTCAAGATGCTCTCTTACGTACTGCTTACCACGCTGGGCCTTGTGATCTGGTACCTGGTGAATACATACCGCGCATTCAAGGTGAATCTTGCCGCCGCCAAGGAGAGTGGGCTCCCCTACATTTGCATGCCAGTATTCACATTCAATCCCGTCTGGCTGGTTACACACACATTATTGCTACCATTGCTGCGATTGTTGCCCTCGGCCTGGACCGAGTCGTGGATCGATTATTCGGGTCCAGATTTCGCATGGAAGAAGCAGCGCAGTCCATTCAAGGAGCTGGGCTGTGACATTTTCATCCTCGTGGCGCCGGGAAAGAACGCGGTCTATGTTGCGGATCCAAGAGCCATCAGTCAAATTACAACGCGACGCAATGACTTTCCAAAGCCTACTTGGCAATACACCTCGGTCGACCTCTTCGGAAGGAGTGTTGTGTCGACTGAAGGAGCCATCTGGCGGACGCACCGCAAGATCACGAGTCCTCCGTTCACCGAGAAGAACAACGTGCTAGTATGGGAGGAGACACTGGGCCAGGCGGAGAGCATGATGACCGAATTGGTGGGTAATGCAGATCGCAGCAAAACCATATGGACTGCCAGCTCGGAGGCGATGCGACTTTCACTCCATGTCATCAGCCGGGCTGGTTTCGGCGTGAGCTTGCATTGGCCACATGAAGGTGCCGATGATACCATCCCGGAAGGACATACCCTGACTTACAAAGGTGCACTGGAGACTCTCTTACACCAGATCTTGACCATCATTCTGACGCCACGCTGGTTTTTGAAGCGCTCGCCTTTCAACATCCACAAAGTAGCATGTGAAGGCTTGACGGAGTGGGGCAAGTACATGCAAGAGATGTATGATCAGAAAAAGTCGGAGATCAAGTATGGGGAGAATGGAGAAGGCATGGACTTGCTAGGTGCGCTTGTCAAAGGTGCTGGCATTTCAAAGTTGGAGGGGCAGGATGGCGAGAAAGGATCCAAGCAACTTCTCACCGATGAAGAGATTCTCGGCAATGCATTCATCTTTATTTTGGGTGAGTATGTTCAAATACCAGAATGACTGATTCTAATGCACTCACAGCTGGACATGAAACCGCCGCGAATACCATCCACTTCTCCATTATGCTTCTGGCAATGCGCATGTCTTCGCAGAGAAACCTCCAAAAGGACTTGGACTCCATCTTCGGGGACAGACCTGTGTCGGAGTGGGACTATGATGAGGACCTACCAAAGTTGTTTGGAAGCATGTGTGGAGCCGTTATGAACGAACAGCTACGGCTGATCCCGCCAGTCAATGGCATCCCCAAATGTACAATGGATGCGCCGCAGACATTGCAAGTGGGAGACAAGCGTTATGTCATACCCGCCAACTCGTTGGTCACCTTGAACTCGGTGGCGACTCATAGGAATCCCGCGTTTTGGCCACACACATCGGAAGAAGACCTCGCAGAGTTCCGACCTGAGCGTTGGTTGGAAACCGGACCTCAACATGCGGAGGAAGATGTGCCCGACCATGTCGAAGAGGGCATGGAATTTGAGGAGAAGCGACCCGACGCCGCCGCCTCTCTATTCAGACCGGCAAAAGGAGCCTACATTCCCTTCAGCGAAGGTTATCGTTCTTGCTTGGGAAGACGCTTTGCTCAAGTCGAGATTTTGGCTGTTCTGGCCGTCATCTTCCGAACTTGGACCGTCGAGCTGGACGTCAGCATGTTTCTGTCCGACGAGGACTTTGCCAAAGCTACAGATGTTGAGAAGCGTGAGGCCTGGGACAAGGCCAATTCTCGCGCGAAAGATTTGCTTGCGAATGGGATGAGTACCATCATCACKATACAGATGCGTACTGGCAAAATTCCGTTCAAGTTTGTGAAGCGCGGACAGGAGAATTTCAAGTTTTGAACAGAAACATATCTTATTGATAAAGACCCCCCCTTCAACTGGCATACGCACACGTGCCCATATCGCGCTTCTGAATGGGAGCTCCGGGAGAAATATCAAAGTCAAAGATATCAATCGGGACACCAAGCGTTGTGCACGCATTAGGGATCTGGGAGTGATTAGCGGGGAGACATTGAAAGTACCACAAGGGAATGACAGCAGAAACTCACATCGACAATCCCAGCAATATGCCCCTGAACCGGAGCACAGGACAAGAGCAGATAGATCTGATAATCCGAGTAACCATACCGTCGCAAATACTCAATGACTCGCAGACACGTCTGTCGATACGCCACAGTAGCATCCAGGTAATGTTGCTTTCCGTGCTCATCCACACTGAACCCTTCAAAGTAAATATACCTCCCGGCTCCAAACTGCGGCTCCACAGGCCCAGGAATATAAATCGGACTCTTGGTGCCCAACTCCGCCATCCCATTCTTCATCACCGAGAACTTGACCGTAATGACCCCAGCCATTTCAATCGCTCCACAAAACGAAATCTCCCCATCTCCCTGTGAGAAATGTAAATCCCCCACCGAGAATTTCGCCCCGGAGACATGCACCGGCAAGTAAACTTTACTTCCTCGCGAGAGATTTTTGATGTCGCAATTCCCTCCATGTTCAGGACGTCCAGGGATCGTTCGAGCGCCTTCACGGCCGACTTTCTCTTTGATACTCGCGTCGCCTGTTCCGGCGTGCACGTTGATGGGTTCGGGGGGTTTGGCGACGTCGCGGTCCATGTGGCTACAGGCGGAAATCAGGGCGCCTTCGCGCTCATTCCAGGTTTCGAGGATTTCTTGGCTGGGAGCGCAGCCGAGGATTCCTGGGTGGATTAGGCCGGCGAAGCGTACGCCGGGGATGTGGCGGGAACTGCAGAAGATGCCGTCGAAATCCCATATGGCTTTTGCTCTGTTGGGGGGTGGTGTTAGTGGGGTTGGATGTTGTCTTGTGAGGGGGGGACTTGCGGTTCGGGGTAGATTTCATCGAGGAAGCCCTACGTATGGAGGAGTATGGTTAGTATATCTGGGGTTGGTTTTCTTTGACTTGAGTATGCCTGGTTGCTTTACTTACACCGCCGTTCTTCTTGGCAAAAATGCCGGTGAATCCCCTAGAAATAACATGTAAGATTCAGCTTTCACCGCGGGACGACTTGGAGCGGGTGTGGATCAAGGCCGAGCGTAGACCAAGGAGAAGCCATGTTGGGACTTCCCACTTGCACCTTGTATCCATGCAGTCTCTTACATACCATGGCTGCTCTTCCAATGGCTGCACATCTTGAATCTCCACAACCAGAATATCACCTGGCTCTGCAGTCTCGATTTCAAAGGGCCCAGTCAGGTAATGAATGCGAGTGAGGTCGACCTGRGAATGGCAAACCAACAGTATCAGCGGAGTTCACATCGTGCTCTCTCCTCCCCAGTGGTGATATCCACTTACATCTCTCATATCATTCGCACTATCATTATTACCAATCTGTCCCCCCGTCCAATCCACACATTCAATCTTGACCGTCTCGCCCGGGACAATCTTTCCAATGGCAGGGACTGTGGGACATTACATCATCATTAGCTTTATCCATGTGGTGAGGAGGTTGAATCAAGAATGTGATGGAACTTACTATCCGGATGCCATCGATTCTATTCACAAGTCTTTTGCGTTAGCGATTTTCTCTAGTTTTAGACTAGTTCTATCCATCAAGGTGAATGAAAGTTGTGTGGAAGATCTCACATGTAAATAAGRCAAAGTACCCGCGTCCTTGTCCAATTCGACTTTGGCGGCGTATCTGTGTCCTTTGGTAGGCATCTTTCGTTTTATTCGTATCCTTTTGTAGAGGGATAGAGGAGGGTTAGGTATAGAGAGGAAGGAAGAAGTGGAGCAGAACAACAATGGAAAAGAGGGACGAGGAAAATATCGAAAAGATATCATGTATTCCCCTCTCTCTCTCTCCCCTCTCTCGGTCCCTCCTCATCATAACCTACCTTACAACGTAACTATCCTTATCGCTACCGATTAGCAAACGAACGATAGATAGGTAGATGGCTTGGATAGCTTACGAAGAGCGGGGCAAGCTCCATTGATTGAATTTGCTTATTTCCCTCATTCTGCTCACCTTGCGATGAAGATGCTGACGGATGATGCTGATGGATGATGATGATGATGACGACGATAGCCTGTAAAAGCCCCTCATCCGATAAGGATAAGATGGGAAGGGGAAGCTGTTGACGAGATTGAAAAGCGGGCATTGGATGGGTGATGAGCTTTCAGGTTCCATGCTGATAAGGAAGGAACGCGCCGGCCAAACGCGTTCGCCGGAGGGGCTCTTTGCTTTAGGTCGCGTTGCGGGGAAGTCGTTCGCTTGAGCAATGCTTGCTTGCTTGCTTTCTGGACGTATGGAAGTATTTTATCACAGACAGATAAATCTTTCTTTCCTTGACGTAACTATATATATATCTCGTATCGATTAATCAATTAATCGTAGCATAGAGCGAGCGAGCGAGCAAGAACTGTCGTAGAAAATTAATAACCTCTGTGAGACTTCTTCTTCTTCTTTTTAGAATCCGAATCCGAGGACGAAGAAGAGGAGGAGGAGGAGGAGGAGGAAGAAGAACTAGAGCTAGAATGCGAACCACGACGAGATTTCTTCTGCCTCTTCTCCTTCTTATGTTTCTTCTTCTTGAAGCTATCCTCAAGCATGGAACCGGCAACCGCACCTCCCACACCACCGAGGATACCATGGCCCATTTGATGGCCTCCGTAGGCTCCTGCTGCCCCGCCGGCTAGAGCGCCCATTAGGCCGCGGTCTTGGTCTGAGGGGCCTGGCGGATATTGGCCTGGTGGATATTGGCCTGGTGGATATTGACCTGGTGGAACTCCGTATGATCCCTGCGTAGACATATTCTGCGGAACGTGCTGCTGATTCCACTGCGGTTGAGGGTGGGCGGGGGAATATGCCTGATTGGATTGAGGGGGAGGATATCCCGACTGTGGAGCTGGGTACTGCGAGCGCTCATCGTAATGTTGTTGTTGTTGCTGTTGGTGTTGTTGAGGGGAATGATATCCCGACTGTGGATTAGGATTGTAGGAATGAGGCTGCTGTTGATCATGATAGCCATACTCGGACGGCGGACCTTGATGGGACATATCTTGTCGAGGCGGTTGAGGATATTGCTGATTGCTATAGTAGCTTTGCGCGGATCCCTGAGTGTTTCCTTCTTCGTAGGAGTTGTGCTGCGTAGGGTAGCTGGATTGATACTCTGCTGGRTTGTTATTGTACGCTGGTCCGGGGTGTCCGTATTGAGATTGCTGCGGTGGTGGCTGGTCGTAGGGATTATTACTGGACTGGTAGCCTTCGTTACCGGGTGGGAAGTTGCTCATGCTGGGATTGGAATTTGTGAGGATGAATGGTGTTGTGGGAGTGGAGGTGAGTTGAGTAGAGTATGTCTACGGCACACGGTATTCGTGGCACAGGAAAGCACAGCCTCACTGCGCCTCATCAGCAGGCAGCAACGATGGGAAATTAAACTTCCGGTAAAGATTATCCACTATTTCCTACCACACGGCTAGAAGAAGTTTCTCACCACGAAAAAGATGGACTACAAGGGAGAACGACTGTCAAGATGATTGATTGATTGTAGCAATTCATATGAAATTGTAGAATTTGAAAGAAATCCACTCTCCCGTCCCATCCCATCCGTTCCCTTGACTTTCCTTGTCTCAAATCTCTCTCTCCATCATACATGCATCAATAGGAAAGTATCATATCCGCTGGAATTGTCTCCTCCACCATCATCATCATCATCATAATTCTCATCATTTTCATGAAATTCTCAAGCCCTCGACAAGTAGCAGAAACCATCAATCATCAATCCGCAGCTCATCAATCAATCAATCAATCAATCAATCAATCAACCGATCTCGCACTTCCGATTTCTATCCTTTCCAACCAGTTCCATTATCAAATCATCAGGAAACCCAAACATGAAAAGAGAGAGAGAGAAAGAGAAAGAAAGAAAAGGTCCTTGCCCAGTAAACATCATCATCCTCCAACAATCATCATCACATCATCACATCATCCTCACAAACACCACCACAACATCATTCCTCCTTACAAACCACCAACCAAACCGGAGGTCCCTCCCCACCCCTCTTGACACCCCATCCCATGCTGCCCAACGTACCCTTGGCCTTGTCACTGCCCCAAGGAATACTCGTACCCTTGGCCCAACAACCCTCACCTTGCTCCACGACCTCCGTCGCACACCACCCAGCACACTCGTCACCTTTCTTCTTCAACACGCGCTCGATGACATTGGCAACGGTGAAGGAGGTGGCGACCTTGAACATTTTGAAGGCGAGGCCTTGGCCGTGGTATTTGGAATTCCAGATTGGGGCGGCTTTGTTGAAGACGTGCAGGAGGGTGTGCTCCGGCGGGAACATGTAATTTTCGCCGGGACGGAGGGTGGGTGGAGGGTTGGCGGAAGTGGAGTGCGCCATGCTGGGAGCTTTCTTGACTTCGGGGGCTGGGGGATCTTCTTGAGAGCAAGTGCAGATAGTGGTGTAGGTGTTGGTTTGCGGGTTGAAAGTGGTGGTGCAGGTGCACGTGGCGTTGGGGCTGCAGGGGGTGATGGGGGTCACGAGAGTTTTGGTGGAGGTGGTTGTGGAGGCGGCGACGGTGCTTGGGGGCTTGGGTGGGGGGAGGATGCCTTTGTTAGTCTTTTTGGGCTGGGCGGGTGGTGGTGGGGGAATGGCGGCGATTTGGCCGGTGGAAGGGTAGTAGAGGTGGTGGGCGAAGCCGGGTTGGAGTTGAGGGCTGGTGAAGTGTGGGTAGGATGTGCAGAGGGGAGCTGGTTGGTTGGGGTTGGGAAGGCAGCCGGAGTTGGCGCGCCACTGATATGGGGAGAAGTTCATGTCAGGATGTGGTGTGATGTGACTTGAAGGTGGTGTTGTTCGGGTGCGTTGGAGCAAGTGGTGACGAGGATGTGTGATGTGTGATGACGAGGGAGTGTGGGTGGTGAGTGGGAGTGGTGGTAGATGACTTGGATGGTTGTCAGAGGGGTGGGTTGAGGAGGAGGATATATAGCAGAGGGGATGAATGGTCAACAGAGCATCATCCGTCCCGCAGCAATCATTTGATGCATCATGGGGCGGAATGGATGGTCAGGTTGGTCATGTTCGCGGCGGGATGGTCATCTCGAGGCGTGAAGATGGTCGAGTTGGTCATTTTCCAGGCGGGATGAGCGTCTTGAGGCGGAACAGATGGTCGAGTTGGTCATGTTGCAGGCGGGATGATCATCTCGAGACTCGCTGGCAGACCCGACGAATGGCGGCAGGTGCTCATCTTCCATTGGGATGTCATTGGTGCTGTGGTCTCGTGGGCAAGAAATCCGGACTGGCACCCGTCGCAGTCAGGGAGATGCATGTGAAAATGACGATATGGATGTTGGCGAGATGTTTGTATGGATGTGTGTGTGTTGAATAGATGGAAAGGCGTGAACTTCCATGGTCCTTCTCCTCGCCCGGCGGAGTCTCCCACTCAATGCCTTGGAATCATCACGATGCAACGTGGAAGTTGTAGCGAGCCATTGAATCCATCCTGCATGTTTTCGAGATTGAATGCTTGTGGAGGGCAGGGCAGGGCGGGCTTGGAGACGCATGCGAGAGAATTTACATTTGATTCAACATTTGCGTCATCCCATCAATATCTCCATCAAAGATTATATTTCCATCGCGTCGCCCAACTTCACGTCGCGCGAAGCATCCATCACCTGAATTCATCCTCGATGTAATTGCATCCCCTTCATGGATTGACGGACGACATGTTCCACTTCACGCCGTTGTTCGGCGCGCATTCCGCCTCACCGGCCTCCGCTTCCCTCCTCGAACTCGACGGCGGAGTCAAGATCCTGATTGATGTCGGCTGGGACGAGCAATTCTCCGCCGAAGCGTTGGACATACTCGGCGAACATGCGCCCACCATCTCCCTCCTCCTCCTCACCCACCCGACGCTGGACCACATAGGAGCATATTCGCATTGCTGCAAACACATCCCCCACTTCTCGCGAATCCCCGTCTTCGCGACGACTCCAGTCATCAATCTAGGCCGAACACTCCTCGCCGACCTCTACGCCTCCTCCACCCCGGCCGCCGCCACGATCCCCATTGGAGGTCAACATGTTCTCTTCGACGCCCCCACGCCCGAGGAAATCACGACACATTTCAATCGCATCCATCCGTTAAAGTACAGCCAACCCCACCAACCGCAACCCGCGCATTCCCAGCCGTCGTTGGGTCACCTCACCATCACCGCCTACAGTGCCGGACATACGCCCGGAGGAACCATCTGGCATGTGCAGCATGGCTTGGAGAGTATCGTCTACGCCGCCGATTGGAATCAGGCGAGGGAGAATCTGTTGTCGGGAGCCGCGTGGTTGGGAGGGGCCGGCGGTGGTGCTGAAATCATCGAGCCGCTTCGTCGTCCCACCGCCCTCATCTGCAGCTCGCGAGGGGTGGAGAAGACGGAGACTCAAGGACGGAAGAAGCGGGATGAAGTCTTGATCGCTCTGATCCGTGAAACCATTGCGCAGGGGGGAAAGGTGTTGATTCCCACCGACTCGTCCGCGAGAGTGCTCGAGCTGGCCTTTTTGCTCAATCAAACGTGGAGGGAGAACATTCCCGGCCCGCATGCCGACACCTACCGACATGCCAAAATCTACATGGCCAGCAAGACATCTTCAAACACCGTGAGACAGCTACAGGGAATGTTGGAATGGCTGGATGAGAGTATCATCCGGGACGCGGAAACGGCCATGGGCAACCATTCCGCCGATGCACAAAAAGTGCCCACCTTGCTGGAGTGGGCGCATATCAAGCCGATGGAGAGGAAGAGGCAGTTGGAGAGGGCCTTGAGACGATCCAGCCCGTGCATCATCCTCGCTAGTGACGCCAGTCTCGAATGGGGCTTCTCCCGACTCGCCCTGCAATCTCTGGCCGGCGATGCGCGTAATCTCATCCTGCTGACCGAAAACATCTCTCCCTCCTCCTCCAACACATCCTCTTCCCTCTCAGCACAGCTCGCGGATTGCTGGCGGAATCGCTCAACATCTTCATCGTCAACAGCTAGAGTCGTCGGCGCCGATGGTCAGACGGTTCATTTGAAGCACCACGACCTCGCCCCTCTCAGCCCGGAAGAGAATGTGCTCTACCAACAATACCTCGCGCGGCAACGTGCTCTCTACACCACCATCCCCGATACCGACAACACCACCCTGTTGCCTGCCGAAGAGGCGGAAGAAGAAGACTCTTCCGATGATTCCGAGGATGAGAATGAGGGAGATCATCAAGGTCGCGCACTCAACCTCTCCTCTGCAATCCTCAATCAACAGGGAACCAAACGGAAAGGTGGCGGTCTGACGGATGCCGAACTMGGTGTCAACATCCTTCTACAAAAGAGACGGGTACACGACTACGACGTCAGAGGAAAGCGAGGACGAGAGAGAATGTTCCCCTTTTTGAGAGCACGAGGCAAAGCGGATGAATTTGGTGAGATTGTACGACCCGAAGACTTCCTCCGAGCTGAGGAGAAGGTGGAACTCGACACCGTCAAGCCCGCCGCTGCCCCTGCAGCGGCACCCCAACAACAGCAACAAGGAGAAAAGCGAAAATGGGGCGGTGCGGAAAAGAAAGGTCCTGAGAAGAAGGTCAAGAGGGAATCCAAACGCGAACCAGACGATATCGATGCCCTCATCGCCCGCGCCACTGGCGAAGGCGACTCACCCAAACCCGGCGCACCTCCCACACCCAATCCAGACGACGACGCCTCATCCGACTCCAACGCCGACTCGGAATCCGATTACGATCCAGAAGACTCGGATCCCACTCCTCACAAACTCCTGACCAAACCATCGACGACATTGACATTACACGCCCGTCTCGCAAGCCTCGATTTCGAAGGATTGCACGACGCGCGAGATCTACAAATGTTGATCCCCCTCATCGCCCCTCGAAAATTGATCCTCATCAAAGGGACAAGTCGCGAGACGGAGAGATTGGCACGGGAATGTCGGGGCATTTTGGCGGAGGGAAGCGTCATGGCACCTCAAGAAGGCGAGAGGGTGGATGCGGGAGTGGACACCAACGCGTGGGAATGTAGATTGGGCCGGGGATTGGTGGGGAAGTTGCGGTGGGCCGACGTCAAGGGGTTGGGAGTYGTCGCCATTTCGGGCTTACTTTCCGCCGGGCAACGCAGTGATGAGGAGGAGAAGCGGGATACGAAACGCATCAAAGCAGCGAGTGGTGAGGATGGAGGAAATGCCGACGAACAAGAAGCCACACCCCTACTACCCATTTTGGATCTCATCCCCTTTACCATTTCCGACGGCGGAGGAGGTGGTATCAAGAAAAACTCTCGACGCGCCACACAGCCCGTGCACGTGGGAGATTTGCGTCTGGCGGATCTGCGACGTAGTATGCAGCAGTCGGGTTTTGAGGCGGCGTTTTTCGGTGAGGGGACTTTGGTCGTGGATGGGTGTGTGGTAGTTAGGAAGGGGAAGGAGGGAGGCATTGTTGAGGTCGAGGTTTGTGGTGGGGGAGGTAGGGCTTGGGAGGCTGTTCGGGGAGTTGTGAGGGGAGGGTTGGCTGTTGTTGAGGCGGGGGTGTAGAGGTAGGGACAGAGGGAGGGAAGGAGGGGGCAAAGGTTATGAATGTATTGAATGTATTGAGACGGTGGGAAGGAGAGGGAGTGGCATATTCCACTGCTTCTTATCTGTCTGTCTGTTTTTTCTGTCTTGTCTGTCTTTTCCATCTGTCTGTCTGTCTGTCTATCTATCTATCTATCCGTCTCTACGTTTATCGAGACAAGATAAGATACATTTCGCCTTTTGAATTTCATCTCAGAGCCCTTGCTCTCTACAAAGTCGACGACTTTAGAGCTACGAGAGGGAGAGGTAGTAGTAGAGTAGTCTATTATTTCGTGGAGAGTACCATCGAGGGCGCTGCTTTTATTAATGACTTTCTCACATTGATCACTTTGCGTGAGAATACCTTCGCGATTTTTTTTTTGGATTTTTTCAAACTATTCATCTACTAAACCTCCCACCCGAAAACTCCTTGTTCCTATCAAAATCAAACCCAAATATCAAACCCATGAATCAAACCCATAAATCAAACCCCAAAACTCCAAAACTCCAAAAATTAACCCTCCTTCAAATACCACCCCAAAGAACTAGCCCTCATCATCTTCCAATCCTCCTCCCTTTCCCAATCTTCCTCATCCTCCCGTTCCTTCTTCTCCTCATCTGTTCCTCGTTTTCTTTTCTTCTTATTGGAAGATGAAGAAGTAGCCTCCCGTTCTTCCTGCCTTTCCAAATATTCCCGTTCAAGGCGTCGGAATTTCGCGGGGTTTTTGTGGATGGAGTGGCCGTGGTAAAGACTTGTGGTGGGTGGGGCGGTGACGGCTGGTGGAGCAGGGGCAGGAGCGGGCAGCGGAGCAGGAGCAACCACAGCCGGGGGAGCAACGACAGCCAGCGGAGCAATCACAGCTGGTGGAGCTGCGGCAGGTGGCGGAGCCACGACATGGACTGGGGCTGGGACTGCGGCAGGCGGCGGAGCAACGACAGCCGGCGGAGCAACGATAGCCGGTGGGGCAGCGGCAGGCGGCGGAGCCACGACATGGGCTGGGGCAGCGGCAGGTGGCGGAGCAACGACAGCCGGTGGAGCAACCACCGGGGCGGCTGCGAGAGGTGGAGCGATGACGGGAGCTGGGGCGACGACGGGAGGCAAAGCGGCAACAGGAAGCAAGGCGCCGACAGGAAGCGGAGCTGCGGCAGGGAGAGGAGCTGCGACAGCAGGAACAGCAGCAAGAGCAGCCGCAGGGAGCGGAGCTGCGACAGCAGGAACAGCAGCAAGAGCAGCAGCAGCGACAGCAGCAAGAGCAATAGCAGCAGTCCCCCCAGCCGCCTCAAACTTATGCTTCCTCAACCTCGCAGCCAACTCACTCCGTCCCAGAACCTCACAAATCGACCGCCAAGTAAATTGGCCTGCACCATACCATTTACTTTTCCAGTAATTTTCCTAATTCAGAAAAAGAAAAAGCAATGTTAGCGTTTCGTTTCGTTTCGACTTTTTCACATTTTGTTTCTTTTTTGTTTCGTTTCTCTCTCGACAACGTACCTCTGCTTCAGTCCACGAGTGTCCCTCGTAGGGGTATCGTGCCGGTCTATCATCTTTGGGAAAATCTTTGACGGGCATTTTCCAGAGGGCGCGGTAGTTGGCGATTTCCGCTGCGTTGAGGCGGGCGATGAGGTCCGGGTAGCCGTCGATTATGGCGCGGTCCATGGCGGTTTGGGACATGCCTACAGGCATGGTGGGTGAGGGTTGGTGGGTGAGGATTGGTTGGTGAGGGTTGGTCGGTGAGGGTTGGTTGGTGAGGGCCGGTGGGCGAGGTTTGGTTGGTGAGGCTTGGTAAGTAAATGTTGACTTGTGAGTGTTGACTATCGACTTGCAAGTATTTCCCTAAAAAATGTCGAAAGGTGAGGGAGGGATGTCTGGGAAGGGGACAGAAGTATATAAACTAGGATTCGCAAAGACCACAGGACGGAAAGTATCCATTTCTTCGGTACCTGACCCCAGATCTCTCTCACGTTTCTCAAAAAAAGCTTCCATCGAAGCCGTAGCCATACGCAGGCTTCCCGATCAAGGACATCTCTGTTCAGGTGGACCTTACCAGGCTTTCTCAAAAAGTCGGACGAGTTTATTCTTATAGGTCTAGTGGATTTACTGCGCCTCTCTCCACATTCGCGCAGCGATAATTTAGGTTTGGATATTGCGGGTATACCCGTCATGTAGGTGAATTGACCATTCCCTCCAGCATGCTGCTTTTTTTTTTTACTTCACACGATGATTATATGAGGATTGGAAAAAAAAAACTATCATCACCCTCACTGAAAAATACCGAATGCGTTCTCATGTAGTGTAGGAGAGTTAGAGGAGGAAGTGGACACATGACACATACGTATTCGCCCGCTGTTTGGACTTTTTCGCGTGGGATTTTGAGGACATTGGACCAAGATGGCGATTGTAACTTCGACGAGGCTACCAGAGGTACACATTGCCGCTCAGGAGGCCTTCTAGACGGCGCTGATCAGTAATAATGAATCGGAGAGAGCCCCGTGCTTTCTTAAGTTGAAAGTTGCATCCTAGCAGCCCCAAACAGCGTATGTTACCTATAGCAACCAACCCTTAGAAGCAGTAGGAATCGGATTCATTACGTACCTGCTGCCGTCTTCTACCTAGCGTTCTACCACTCCAATACACGAAGGTCCACGTGCTGTAGATGCGGTGCACAAACTCCTCCCTTCAAACTGCTTCTTTTTGTCCAGCCAATGTCTTGATTGGTCCTACGTTTCGACTCTCTGGTTTTTTTTTCTCCAATGTCTCTCGATTTTTCTTCTGAATGGCTTCTTGCTCTTCTTTGATCTCGCATGGCAGTGCAAAGCGATGATATGCTTTGCTCTTTCCTGAGTATGCATATCTTTGAGAACTTGGTCTGTTTGGATCCCTGCCCGTCTGTCTTGCGAATCGTTCGGTTGGGCGGAGATGGGACTAATTGAGATGGACAATTGAGATGGGATTAATTGGGATGGAATATCGGATACCATCGGATCGATTTCGACGATGTACATGGATCCTGAACAGCAGCATAAGGTGGGCTCTCTGCCGATCTCTTACCTTGCCATGTACAGCTTATTTAACTTTCATATGCCAATGCCAAGAACCAATGATATCAATTCCATTAACAATTTATCCGTCTACAGATTTTAAGAACTGCTTCGAGCAATCTTACCTACCACACAAGTCGAAGTTGAAGATATCCACAATGACGACAGGGTCTAAAAGATGGATCATGCAACCTCCAGAAGATGATACCAACGAACAAATTAATTAATTCAATACGAAGTTTCTCCTCAAGCCGAAAACTTGCCCCACCCCATCGTATGCATATTCCGATCCTTCATATCCTTATCCTCGTCCTTGCCAGGCCACATGATATTCCCATTCACCACAGCATGAATATGAAATCCCGCCGTCATGATCCAAAGTATCACGAGCAAAATGGTCAAGGCGCTACAAATTCCGTTGATGACTGTGCTTTCAAACACCTTTCCAATTTGAATCGCCGCGAGAGTGAGGCCTGCGTTGGGGAAGACAAAGGCCCACCAGTTGAGCGTGAAGCGCATTTGGCGGACACCGGCGACGACGGCGACCTTGGGAGAGAAAATGTCAATTTTGGAGTTGGATGGGAAGGGGAGGAGATGGAACATACTGTGCTGATGCAGAAGAACCAGAAAGCGAAGATTACAATGAAGACACCTGTGAAGGATGTCAGTATTCTGGCATGCTAGCTACCGTCGTTTGGATGATGCGACTTGCCAGCCATGATTCCGATGATTCGCACAACATCGCCGTCTGCGGTAGGCGTTTCGGAGTTGAAAGTGTTGAATGGAAGAATCTTCTCTGCTTGAGATCCCAGACTATGGCAAGGTTCATCAGTACCGAGTCTCCTCTCGAGGGATCGACTGTCGCATTACTCACGAGATCAGACCAGCCGCGGTGTAACCCTGAGAATGTGGATTAGTCATGCTCGAGTAACAACTGTCTGACCATGTCGAGCAACTCACCGCCGGTCCAACGCTCACATACATGCCCGGACGCGTTGACGGAGAAGGCAAAGCAGAAGTCATGAGTCTTTGCGTGTACATGGCGTACATCATCAACGCCACAGTCCATGCAAGACCTTGCAACATGACCGACCCCACCCACATATCAAAGGCCTGCGATTGAGGCTGAGAAGGAATCATGGTCCCACCCATTGTTCCCACCACCAACAAAGGGTAAATGGGGAAGATCCAAGCTGGCACCGCGTCGGTGATCTTGAGACGTTCCTCCTGGAATAAAACGTAGTACTGCGCCACGGCAATGACCAGCACAATCCCGCAATACATCCAGAAACAAACCCGAAGCGCCACGGGAAGCCAGGGTCCACATTTGGGTACTCCGTATCCTTGCGCAGCGTTCAGAATGAGGGATACTGAGACCCAATATGATCCGAAGAACAGGCCTTCAACGGGATGATGGAGCGATGAGAGGAAGCGTCGAGGGAACCAGAATGCTCGCAGGCTCATGGCCATGGTGAAGAGGATGAAAAGTACCAGCTGGAGGATGAAGAAGATTTCGCCGATGGTGGTGAGACYGGGGAATTTGTTGGGAGTGTTGGACAGAACGACCGCCACTGCTCCCGTGGACATTGTTGTCGCGAACCTGCTTGTCGTGTTAGGGAATTCACACGCGATGGTGGTTTGGAGGAATGGAATGTACCATGGCCAAGTAAAGTGAGCCTGGAGGGATGAAGGAATTAGCCTAGCCCTTCAATGATTGTGTTGATGATGGAGCTTTTCATTCATTCATTCGACTCACTATTCTGTCCTTGAAGCCAGCACTGTCAGGTGGAGAAGGTTCAAAGTCCGTCCTATCGCTCTCGCTTTGCTTCTCCGCGTCCGCGCCATCATCGGCATCTCGCCGTACAGGTCGTTGATGCATTGTGGATCGAATTGATGTACGGACCACCTGAGGACAAACCGCGAAAGATTCTCCTTCCACGGAGGAGATACAATTATTACAACGTCACGTCATCGCGGCGACATCAAGACTTGTCGGCATGCCAAGCCCGAGGGACGGCATTGTTACCCACTCAATGCGCTGAGAATGTGTGTTCTATTCACCTCTCTCTGCGTACGTGGAAAGCGTCTCAGCATGTTGACAGACAGCCGGGTCGATGTGGTGCAGCTATTCATCACACGCAGGTACTGAACGAAGAATAGGACGGGAAGCTCGTAGAACGCCAGCACTAACACCCTTACCACTCGGATCCTTTCCCGCGGGGAAGCTGGAGAGCCCTACTACTAATATTAGTACTACACCGCCCTCTAGCACCCCCAAATTAAGACCAATTTAGTCCATTTCAGTCCTATATCGTTTATACTATGTCGGTAAGTAGTCCGTATAAAAGGTGTTGTTTTAGCTRTTGTTTTAACGCATTATAGGAACCTCTAAGGGCAACTAGCAAACGGCTAGATAACGCCCTTTACTACTAACTACGYATTGCCTTCGATACTACCGATAGTAGTAACCGCGYAATTAGTAAGGCCTATAGTGTTTCTYATCTAAYAATTAGYAAGATACGCCTCTCTTACGAGCTGTTTAGTACGCCCTATCTACCTAGAGGTGTCCGTATTAGCCGTCCGCCGTTCCTTACGCTAGATTAAGAGGACTCTTTCCTATAGTATATATATTCGTAGCCGGACGCCTACGCGGATAAGATAGCTTAGTAGATATTCGACAATACTAGCGTAGTGTTTAGCGACCGTAGCGTGTACGCGCTATTAGTAAGGCGTAGATAGACTCGCAAGGTTGCTAGAAGCATCGCTAGAGAGCGTAATAAGGTATTACGGTCGTATTAGCGCGCGAAAAGCGCCGGTTAGAGGCGTAAGGACCTAGTGTTTATCGACGAGTTAGCTTATAACGAGCGGAATAGCTATAGGTAGGTTGTTGTCGCTATAAGGATAAAGCTGTAGTAGTTACGAAAGTTAGTGTTTTAGCTTAACTAATAATACACTTAGGAAGTACTCTTAGTTACTAATTAGCTATCTTATAGATACACAATCGCTAACTAAACGCTCTAAACGGTAGTTACTAGTACCTACATTTACGATAAACGGCTACCTCGATAGGCCGTTATTAAAGTAGGGAGCTATTACCTCTAAAGACATCCTTAACTAGCTAATTTATGTTATTTTGCCTTAACTGCTAACTAGTATAATCCTTATTATAGACAACGCTTTAATCTACCGCAATAAAACGATTAAATAGGCTATTCGATAGGCTAGTTGCTTCCTAGAGCTATTACTACCGTACTCTCTAGACTATAACCCTATTAAATAGTCCTTTAACGTCCTTAAGTTATAGATAAAACGACACCGAGATAAAGCAGCTACGTACGCTAATTTCGAGGACTTCCTTATCTACGCTATA